TCTGTGAGTTTTTTGGGTATTTTTGGTGTGGTCAGAAAAATATATATATTCTTTAATAAAGAATACTTTAATAAAATGTATATACTTATACATTGATATAAGCATTACTTGATAAAGGCATTAACGCAAAATCACATTTTTATCCTTTGAGCACCCACTCTGATATAAATGGCATTTGAATAATATGAGAAATAAAATCCAGCATTAAGAGGTAAAGAAGATTGGAGAGTTATGAGAATATGAACATAGAAGTAAAGCATTTTCACCCTGACTGTTGTGACTCAGTGGGTTGGGTGTGGGCTTGCCAACCAAAGGGTTGCTGGTTGGATTCCCAGTCAGGGCACATGCCTGGGTTGCCAGCCAGGTCTCCAGTAGGAGATTCGTGAGGGGCAACCACATATTGATACTGTCTCTTCCTCCCCTCCCCTCTTTGTAAAAATAAATAATTTTTTTAAAAAAACCTGTTAAACCAAAGAAGTTTCTACCATCTCTTGCACATTACTCTGGGGTTGATGCCCCCGAATTGAAATGAAAGTGATTTAAGTCCAAGGATTGAAATAGGAGTGATCCATTTCAATCCATCTAAATGGCAATAACCCCATGAAATCGCCATTGAAAATGTGTCAGCTGACCTGAGGAATATCAAGAAATAGTGTGAAAAAGAAAACAATCTGGGATTGAGATTCCTTAAGTTTTCACCTTACTCGGGAAAGTAAAGAGGAAAGCAGAAGTCCTGAGAAGTCCCTTTAGATCTGGGACTTCCCCTCACAGGGTTGGCAGGATCCCCTTGGTGAGGGTTCTAAGCCTGATGACAGCACAACGGTTGCTCGGTAGCCAGTAGGTCAACAGAATTTTTACCAGGCGTCCTCTCAGGCCATTCCCGACCCCGTCAGATGCTGAAATCTAGTTAGCATGTGCATGTACTTATTGCTGTATAACAAGTTACCCCCAAACAAGCATTTATTTTCTGACGCAGTGTCCGAGAGTCAGGAATCTGAGGGTGGTGCAGCTTGGTGTTTTCCAGCTCTGTCTTGAGGTTGCAGTGAGACAGCTGTCTTGGGCTGCACTCATGTTAGGGTCCTAATGGGGACAAAGAGTCCACCCCAGACACTACCCTGTCAATGGCAGTGCTCAGGTTCTCATCACCTGGGCCTTGCAGTAAGGCTGCTCACAAGAGCAAGATGAAAGCCAGTCTTTTAATCATACAAATGATCATACAAAGTATGATCACACAAAATAAATGATCATACAAAGTAACCAGAGCATAATGAGAGGCGAAACTCGAGGGTGTGGAGACCAGGGAGATCACTGGGGATCATCTCGGGGGCTAGCAACCATGGCGTGGCACCATTTCCCAAGCTCTGCCTCATTGATAATTACTAAATATCTATAGGGTGGCTAGGACTCTAGTCCTCCAGTCAAAATAAAGGAATGAGAGACAAATTGGAGAAGACTGAAAATTCCAGGGCCACACCTGTCGTTTCCTTCACATCAGATGAATTTTATCGCACTCAGGGACCGTGACTAAGTGTATACAACCACAGTTTTGCACGATATACTGAACTATTTTATTAGTTGCCTTAAACTTATATAACCTTAAACTTCATTAATCCATCCCATTGAGGCAGTATGTTATTTTTACAATTTTTAAAAAGATTTACTGGGGTGACATTGCTCAATAAAATTGTACAGGTGAGACAGTATCTTTTAAGTCCCCATTAAACTGATGACAAATTTCTCTTCCAATTTTGTTTCTTCCAAACGTGTATGGATATACCATTAATTTATCTACTAAGATTTATAGCATTTACCTTCTGTTAGGTAACCATAATTAAGTGCTCATGTCACATGATGATTAGCAAAGGTAGCTGGTGAGGCCATCCTCTGGTATCACTTATCTCTTCCCCCCTTATTGAGAGAACTGACTTTGAAGTCCATGTGGATATCGATGTGTAGGCCTCACATTAGGGGGCTTGGTGGTGGGTGAGGTAGAGGAGGGCCTGGGTAGGCATTTGTGCATGCACAGACATGTGGATACAGAGATATACACAGACACACACACCCCTACACTGCAAAAAAGAACTCCTACCCTGGGATACCAACTCTTCACTTTGCCCTTGCCATGGGAAAATCTCATCTCTTTGCTTCACTATGAGGGAAGAGCTATAAATTTGTTAGGAAGATGGAATGAGTTCCTGTTCATAAAAGTACTTAGAGTGAGGGAGTGGGGCTGACTCAGTGCTTAGTAAACATTAGCTTTACTGTTATAAAGCCATCTGCAACTGTTGATTTTTTTACATTACAAATGATAATTACTTCCCATTTGTATACTTAGCAATCTAATTTATCTAGCAGATACACAGTAAGAAATACATATTTTCTCAAGTAATTAAAATTCCACTTATTGCAACTGTTGTTTTCAGTGCCCACCATGATTAGACGTGTGAATCTGGTTGACTCATTCTAACTGGTCTATAGTATTTGTTTGCATACATAATACATTTATTTATTTCCCTTTTGATGGATATTAGGCCATTTCTGAATTTGTTATTACGGTGTTCCAAGAAATACCCTTAAACACATATACATGGGCACATGGAGGGCGTCCAAAGGGAACACAGAGAGGGGTTAATTATTGAATGTTGGTTATGCCCCATTCGACTTTACTCAGCATTACTAAATAGCTATTTAGAATTTATGATAGTTCCTATTTCTCAATGTTCTTACCAGAACTTGGTACAAAAATGTTTAATTTTGCAAATATGATCGTTTAAAATATTTCATTGCTCAATTTGCATTTACCTGTAACTAGTGAAATTTGTGTATCTTTTCCTATGTTTATTGGCTATTTGGGGTTACTTCTTGGTTAACTGTATATTTAGTACACATGTTTACATGCCGTATTATGCTTTTATACTTTTAATTAATTTGTAGGCTGCTCAGATATATTCTGGATATAGAATAAATGTGGACTGACATTTTAGGCTTGATGGATTTTAGACATTTTAGGCATTTTAGACATTTTAGGATGGATTGTGTGCTATTTAAATGGGTGAAGCGGCATAGTGGAAAACAGGTTTTAGGAGGACTATCAAGAGTTTACTTTATGGTAAAGTCGAGACACTTTGGAGTAAGTAATCCAAGAGAACGAGTGGGCCACAGAGATACATCCGGGAGGGGTCAGCTTGTAGATGGCGTGGAAAGTGATAGCAATACACGTGCTTATCTCCTGAGAGCACCTGGGGCGATGTGACTAGAACCCTACAGAATGACTCATTTGGAGGAGGAGGATCTGGAAAGGGATGCTGAGGTAGAGGGGGAGTAGAGAAAAACTAGAATTGTGGGATATGGTGGAAGCCAAGAGAGAAACCTGCTCCTTATTTTTCCTTCAGTTTTTGTAACGGCTGCAGAAGATTCCATTGCCTGCGTGTATCTAACTGTTCTTTTATTTAGAATTTGGTTTATTTTGGTGCTTTTCTATTATACACTTTGATGAACATTCTTGTAGATTCATGTTTTTTCCCCACTGATTATTTCCTTTGGATATACTCCTATATGTAGGTCAAAGAGTATGTTGTTTTAAAAGGTCTTACTATAAGGTACATGTGACTTCTGGAAAGATTGCCTTCTTTTAAAAAAAAAGCATTTTATTTATTTATTTTTAGAGAGAGGAAGAAAGAAAGGGGGAGAAATATCAATGTGTGGTTGCCTCTCACCTGCCCCTCACTGGGGACCTGGACCACACCCTGCCCTGACCTGGTAATCTAATCAGGGATCCTTTTGTTGGAAAGCTTGCACCCAATCCACTGAGCCACACCAGCCAGGGTAAGATTGCCTTCTTTTATGTTCCAACCAGAATGAGTTTGCTTTTTTTCCTTCATTCTCATGGTGGTGGGAAAGGGTGAGAACATTTTTAATGGTTGCAAAGTATGCTATTATATGGTTGTTCATAATCTCTCTCGCCAATTATATTGATTTCTTTTTTCTGGTGTTACAACTAGTGGTGTAGTCAATAGCTTTTTTTTAGCTTAATCTTTTGGCTCGCTCTTAACCTGTTCCTCAGAATAATTCCCAGAAAGTGGAAATGATAAATCATAAGTATTTCTGTTTTTAAAGCTATGGAAACATAGATAAATTACCCTCCAGAAAGTCTGTGTTCTTCCTATCAGCAGGGCATGAAAAAGGACATCCCTAATCTTTGGGAATTATCTGAAGGACTGCAACTTCCAGAATGACTTTATATGAAAACTGTGCACGAACAAAATTCTTTAATAACATGTTTGCACGTTGCACCTCAGGTTTTGAGGCCCCAAATCTGAAACGCTTGTATTCCAGCTATAGTATCTCATCTGTGATTTAAGAATTATGTCCACCAGCATCTCCCGAGTTTTGATGCTAAGGGCTTCAAAAATTAATGCAGTGGGGCCGTTAGATCAGTTGGAAAAGGCTGTCTGTTTCAAGTTTGAAATCATTTTATCTTAAAGTTCTGTTTCAAAACCAACGGAATTTTTATTTTGGAATCTGGTTGATATTTCCCGGTTTTTGTGGTTTTTTTTGGGGGGGGGCGGCGGGAGGGAAATTCCCGTTTTGTGTGGTTTAACGGTTGACCAAAACAGGTTCAATTCTTGCGGACATAGGTCTCATAGATGGTTTTGATTTTTTTCAAATAAATGACAAATAGTCACTGTCGTGTCTGCAAAAAGTAAACATTTGGGTTAGAATCTCTGCAGACATCCGATTCCTATAGCGGTTTCCGAGTTTTGGCGTGAGATGTGAGCACTCTGATTCATCCGCGGGTATTCAGGTCTCGAGGACACAGAGGCGGGGCGCCCAGGAGTGCTGGCCGGGGTTCACCCCGGCGCGGCCGGGTACCTAGCCCGGTCGGACACCTGCGCCCCGAGACTCTCCTTGCACGACCATTCATCCTTCCCGCAGGAAGGGGCGGAGCCCACGCTAGGCCCCTCCCCCAAGCCCTGTGCTGGCAGCCGCGGCGGGTCTTCCGCTCTGGGAGGGCTGCTTCCGGATTCGTTGGCGAGCTCCGAGGCAGAGGATTGAGGAGCCGCTGGGCTGGTGGGCGTCTGGGCTGCGGCCCGCGCTGGGCCCGCGATGCTTGGGGGCCACTCGGAAGGACGGGATCGCGAGGCTGAGGGCGACGGGGCGGGGGCTTTGCCTGCCCCGCCTGCAATCGACTTCCCGAAGGAGGGCTCGGAGCCCAAGTATGATGGTGAGGGACCCGGAATCCGCGGCGGCCCTCCCCTTGCCCCGGTCACTTGCTTTCCGGGTTCGCTCCAGGACCTGGGCAGCGACTGGATCCGGGCTTCAGCGGGGCCCCAGCAGTACAGTGCCGGGGGGTGGGGCGGCGAGTGGGCCGCCGGGTAATGTGAGCATTTACCGAAACGAGGGTCCGCGACCCGCTCGTTCGTTCATATTTCTGTGCTTGGTTTCCTCTGCGGACTCGGCGTCCTCAGGTCTCAGCTCCCAGGCCCTGGGCGGTTTTGCCAGGCGGTGAGCCGGAGCTTTGCCAGCTGCTAGGACGGGACTTGGCGGACCCTACGGGCGGGACAGTTTGGGCTGAGTTTTGATTTGTTGCTTCTGTTGCCTTGTTTCCCCGGTAGGGTAGCTAAAAGACTTCTTGTAGTGAGGCAGTATGGAAATCCTTCTCTTTGGTTAAAAAAAAAAAATGCCCGAGTTTTCTCGAGACTTTTGCTTACTGGGGCATAGCCTGCCAAGGTCTTCAATAACTTAAAATGAGAGGGACTTAAAACATTGACTCTACCCAGTCTAAAGTAGCCAATGAAAGTATTTTAATGAAAGGGCAATAAGCTATTTAATTGCAACCAGTTGGCAGTTTTAAAAATTAAGTTGTGCCATCAAGAATGAATACATTGTTTTTTTTAAATATTTTATTTATTTATTTTCTTGAGAGGGGAAGGGAAGGAGAAAGAGTGGGAGAGAAATATCAATGTATGGTTGCCTCTCATGCGTCCCCTGCTGGGAACTGGCCTGCAGCCCAGGCATGTGCCCTGACTGGGAATCGAACCGCGATACTCTGGTTCGCAGGCCCGCGCTCAATCCACTGAGCTCCGCCAGCCAGGGCGAATACATTGTTTTTTTTAAAAAAGCATGAATACCTTGATTCAGGGAGCTGTTCACTACATGGTAGTGCAAATGCGATGACTACAGAATGCAGACATTCAACCGAAGCATCAAACAACTGTTAAGATGTTAACATCGACTTAAAGTTGCAAACCGAGTTGGAAAGGCTTTAATTTCTTAACTTCTTTGATTTTCATCCTCAGTACCACCTATAATTTTTGATGCCAAAGGGAGGCAAAAACAGACTGTTCACAGGATAGTTGTGAGATGACTACTTTTCAGTAGCCAGACTGATTTCTGGAAGGTGCTTTATCAGAGTAGTTCCAAAACCCAGGGTCACGTCATAGGAAAAGCCCCAGCTGTAAACATGCAGGTTTGCCTTCTCTGTAGGATTGTGATAAGGTTTTCTGCAAACTGAAGATTATTCCTGAAGGGTGGGATCTTAGATTAGCTTCTCTTAAAAATTTTCTCCTCCTAGGTTACTAACAATACTGTTTTGTTTACATATTGCTTCTCTTCCAGAGAGACCCAGAGTGTTGTAGGTGAAAAGTAAGGTCTGTGAAAAATGTAGCTCCATTTGTATAACAGATGGCACACCAGAGTAGTTAAGTGCTTTCTTGAAGGTCTTCTGTGTGATGTGAGAAAGTCGCACTGCCAGTTGATGGTAGAGGCAGAAAATTCAAAGCCTAGGTGAGCTCGAAAACCTGCACTCTGCAGTTTATTGTGTGGGGATTCTGCAGAGCCAGCGTCAGCCTCAGATCAAAGTGACTGTTCTTGGTTTTCTCCCCTGAAATATAAGGAGGGCCAACAGTAAACCCATTGTCAAACTCACTGATTTTTCTTCTTTCACCCAACCCAAGTTTCCCAGAATTTTTATTTCAGGTTAATTTTCAGGTTCCTCTTTCATTCTTATTATTCTTATTCTTATTATTCTTAATCCTCACCCAAGGATATGTTTATTGATCTTAGAGAGAGAGGAAGGGAGAGAAATATCAATGGGTTGCCTCTCAAATGAGCCGTGACTGGCGATGGAACCCCTAGCCTAGGCTTGTGTCCTGACGAGGATTGAACTGCAGCCTTTCGGTGTGCCGGACGGTGCTTCAACGAACTGGTGGCCAGGGCCCTCTTTCATTTAATAATGGGCATTTGCTTCATACTTTCCTGAGGACTTTGAATAATCCCATTCCAGTTTGTCTCCTCCTCTCTTACTTGGCAGAGGTCTAGACCTCTTTCACCTAGGATCTAGATCTTTTTTTAAAAGATTTTAACATCACGTAATACAAAATTTTGAAATTGTGTTTTGATAAAATTTATCATTCAGTCAAATGAATCACACATACATGATTACTGACAGGTTCCTAAAATTTAAAAAATTTAATCTAATAAATATGCGGGTTAATTATGGGCAGATACACATATATGTATCTAGCTATATATGTCTATATGTATCTATATTAAAATATGTATTTAAAATGAAAAAAAAGATTTTATTTGCTTATTTTTATTTATTTTTTATTTTTCCTCTTCTTTCCCCTGTTATCCTCCCTCCTCCCCCATTTGTTTATTTTTAGAGGGAAAGGAGGTAGGAGAGGAACTTCACTGTTTGCCTCTCACACGCCCCCTACTGGAGATGTGGCCTGCAACCCAGGCATGTGCGCGACTGAGGATCCAACTGGCGACCTTTGGGTTGCAGGCCAGCACTTGGTCCACGGAGTCACACCTGCCAGGGCTAGATCTTATTCTTTTATAAGGGAACTTGACCTCACCGTTCCCTTTAGCCACTTTCCTCTGGTCTCGTGACCAGAACTGTAAGAGGTGAAGCTTTCAGCTTCAGCCTTTATTTCCTTTCAGTTTTACTCTTTCTTGCATTAGTAGTTTATTCACGGGTGTTTGTAAAGTTGTCATTTTCTTGTTATATTAGGTTCATTTGATTCCACGGACCAGGCATTCTCTTTTATTATTATATGATTATTAAAAAGTAGAATTTTTTCATTATAGAATATAGAAAAGTATGAGTATAAATAAGCAGAAAACCCTCCTAACCATAATCTCACCACTGTTAAGAATTCAGTATATTATTTTTTTAAAAGATCACATTACAGAATCTGTTGAAAATACAGAAAAGCCTGAAGAAGGAATTTAAAAAGAAAATTTAAAAACCATGACCTCATCAGCCAGAGACAACTTAGATGAATTTTGTATTTAACACTATTTGTCAAAGAAAAGTGTCATGCCTGGGTTAAAGGTTTCTATCTGATTTTGTCCAAATAAGATAGCAATTTAGAGAAATTGATCACAAAAATTTAAGGGAGTAAGGAAGAAAAAGGGAAGGTCCCCTGCCCTGGCATCCCAGGGAAGAGCTCGCTGCTAACAATTTGGTGTATTCATTTGCTAATGATTGACAGCTGCGGTGTGCCGGGGAGGTGCCAGGTGCTCATGAGCAACCAGGCCGACTGTGAAACAGCATGTCTACTGGAATTCATTCCTTTTATAAATTGTGCTTATAGATCATTGAAAACATCAGAAATTTTGCCTGTGTAGTTTTTTCCATTCTTTTTATGTGTGTAGATTTATAGAGCTATAAAATACATGTATTTTAAAACTGTGATTTTTTTTTAGTTTTATGTACTTATTTATTTATAAATATTTTATTTATTTACTTTTGGAGAGGGAAAGGGAGGGAGAAAGGGAGAGAAACATCAATGTGTGGTTGCCTCTTGTGTGCCCCCTGCTGGGGACCTGGCCTGCAACTCAGGTTTGTGCCCTGACTGCGAATCAAACCAGCGACCCCTTGGTTAGCAAGCTGGTGCTCAATCTACTGAGCCACACCAGCCAGGGCATGATCTGTTTTTTAAGTGAGACATTATCTTAACATTCTTTGGTCATAAATTAGCCTTTAAAATATTATTTAAGACTATCACATTCTGTACTACCATTTATTTAATCTTTATTGTTGGAAAATAGGTTTGTCTTTTTTTCTTTTACCATTAGACATAGTAATGGGTTTGACATCTGTATACATACATCTTTGTTTATATCTGATTTTTTTCATCAGAATAGATACACAGAGTAGAATCTGTTGAGTAAAAGAAGTACATTATTTTAAAAAAAATGGTTTTGATGCATTTTGCTAAAGTGATGACCATAAAGATTGTGTTGGTTTGTGTGAAATTATCTGTCTCTCCTCAAATTCATTAATATTACTGTTTAATAGACTGTTTCTTTGACCTGATAATGGTCTATTTATGATATAATTTTTCTAGACACCATCGTTTTTAACAGCTGCATAGTAACCTGTTATATGTATGTAACATACCTAATAACTGTAAATAGTCTAAAGTGTTAATGCCAAACATTGTGTGTGTGTATATGTATGGTCTGTCCAGAAAGAAGTATCCAGCTATGTAATATGAAAAATAGAGACATTTATTAAAGGACAGTGACACCTCAGTATCCTTTAAATCAGGCACCTCGGGACTTCACACAGTTCTCCTAGCCACCCTCATCTACTCCGTAAAATATCACTGACAGTCTGAAATCTCTTCCCTTTCAAAGGTGATTTTAGTTTTGGGAAGAGGCAGAAGTCACAGGGCACCAAATCTGGGCTGTAGTGGGGCTGAGTCACCTGGGTGATTTGATGTTTCACCAACAAACTGCATGAGACATGATGCATGAGCAGGTGTGTTGTCGTGATGAAGGTGCCGATCCCCAGTTGTCCAGAACTGTGGCCTTCTGAATCATCCAGATAGTTTCTGTGGAGGGATGTTCAAGCTTCTGCAAAGTTTATTACAGATTCATTGCTCTACTTGCTCAGTCATTTTGAATGAGATAACACAGTACACAGGGTCACTCATTGGTGTCTGCCGCCCCCACTGCCTAGTACGGTGAAGTCGTCATTGTTCACGCATGTGCATTCAAGTCCACTCTCCTCGGCTGTCCAGTTACATCCATGTCACACCAACCGTTCTCATTATATTAACAATGGCTGGACTTGTTCTGGACAGACCTTGTGTATATCTGATGTGCTTTGTGAAGTTATTTCCTTGGTATGTTTTTCCAGAAGTAGAGTGCTTGGTCAGGGTTTTGCACATTTAAGTTTTAGGATGTTTTGCCAAAGGTTGCAAACACTTTTTTACCCCTTTGGGTTTGAAAATGTCTACTATTTTTTGGTCTGCTTTTTTATGCCCAGAACAATACCAGGTACCCCGACTTTTAATAGGTGCCAATCTGATGGCAGAGCCTGTACCGAAATTATTTTAATGTGTATGTCATTAGTTACTAGTTATGTTGAAGCTATTTGAAATTTTAATTTGCTTAATTTTTTAGTAGCTTGTAAGGGCTCTGAAATTTAAAAAAATATTTTTTACATTTATTTTTAGAGAGGGGAAGGGAAGGAGAAAGAGTAGGAGAGAAAAAACGTATGGTTGTCTCTCGTGCATCCCCTGCTGGGAACTGGCCTGCAACCCAGGCATGTGCCCTGATTGGGAATCGAACAGGTAGCCCTTTGCTTCACAGGCCCGCGCTCAATCCACTGAGCTACACCAGAGGGCTCTGAAATTTTATTAACCTTTTCTTCTTCTGTGAAGAAGTCCTGTGGAATACAGATACAGGTGCTGTATCTGAATTTGTGATTTATATTTTAACTTTAAGATGCCTTTACACAGAGAAGTTTGTGCATGGCCACATTTTTCATTCTTTTTCTTTCTGAGACTCAGAGAAGTATTTATTTAAAGTGAACAATACACCTGCATATGTTATGCAGGTCTGTTTTTGGCCACATATATAGAGGTAAGAGAAGAAATTTGTGAATGAAATCTGGATTTGAAAACTGGGGCTTTCCCAGGACTTCTGGTAGTTCACAGAGGAGAGTGGAATAGAATATTTGAAATGGGGACAAGTTTAGCAGGTGTAGGACATGGTCCTTGTTTCTGCGGGGCATTTCCTATTGAGTTGGATCAATAGCTATGGAGAATTTGAAGTGTCTCATCTTTCCTCTAACAAGTCCTCTTGCCAGTTTCTGCTCTTGATTGACACCTCCCTGCTTCCATTCCTAGCATTTCAAATCCCGGCCAGTCCAGGTCTTCTCTCCATGTTCCCGTAATTCAACCTTCTTTACTAACTCATCCTAACTTCTTGTTGGCTGTTGCACGCCTCCTTCCAGGCCACTTGTTCACAGTCCTGAGACAGTTTCCTTCATTGTATTTTTGACCTGTTTAATAGCGTATTAAATAAACAGTAGGTGAGAATTTATTGACTTTGAGCACACACTCGTCGGTCTGGTTGGTCTTGCGTAGTGGAAAGAGGACAGGGGACCTGGGAGTTCGTCCAGTCAGCCTGCTTACAAGTTCCTTATAAGCTTGAATGCCTGTTTGCTTGAATACTCAATTAATTAATTAATTAATTAATTAATCTCTACCTCTGTGCTCATCATTACTACCAAACAAACCTTTCTCCCTTCCCCCAATGGCATCTTTCTGCTAGTCTTCCAACTTCCAAAATTCAAGTCAAAACTCAACCCTGGAAAGTCTGTCTTGATTAACTCCACTCAGCTTAACTACTGTTTTGTTTTTTCTTTCTTTAAATTGAAATAGTTTGTTTCATTAATGAGAATGTACTATTTTGTACAGGAACAAGTATAAAGGACACATGGACAAAAACTAGGGGGCTGTGCAAATGGGAGGGAGCTGGGGAGGGCTGGGTGGGCAGGCTGGGATGGCAGTATAACACAGAAAACTGTACTTGAACAACAATTAAAATATAATTAAAAAAAAAGAATGTCCTATTTTGTCATTCTGAGATATGGGTACCATGTGTGACGATTACTTCCTTTTTTGACTTGTAGAGTCTGATGTTCCAGCCGAGCTCCAGGTGCTGAAGGGACCCCAGCAGCAGCCGACCTTCCCTTTTGCGGTTGCCAACCAGCTCTTGCTTGTGTCTCTGCTGGAGCACTTGAGCCACGTGCACGAACCAAACCCGCACCGTTCAAGACAGGTGTTTCAATGTCAGTAAGAGTGCACTCATCTCTTTGTGTTAAAGGTTTATTTATTTATGTTTAGAGAAATGGGAAGGGAGGAAGAGAGGGAGAGAAACATCAGTGTATGGTTGCCTCTCTTATACCCACTACTGGGGACCTGGCTCACAACCCAGGCATGTGCCCGGACTGGGAATTGAACCTGCAGCCCTTTGATTCTCAGTCTGATGTTCAGTCCACTGAGCCACACCGGCCAGGGCAGAATAAATTCATCTTGCTAACTAAAACTTGTAAGAGTTCTTACAAGTTTTAAACTTGTAATACTATTTAATGCTGTGGGTCTGAGAAGCAGTGGGTATATAAACATTTGAAAGAAGTAGTAATAGTTTAATTTCCTAAAATCATTTTATTTTACTTTGAGTAGTTCCTTAGGAATATAATTACTGGGGCCCTAAAACTCTAATAACCATAAAATTGTGAATATTTAGTTAAATAAAAGATAGTCCTTTTGTATCTATAACCTGATATTTCGTATGATTTGTAAAGATCTCTTATGGTGTAGTCAATGAGCAGGTAAATGAAAATCACAGATACTCATTCTGAACCTGTTCTTTTTTATTTTACTTTATTTTTCAATTATAAGAGAAAGTTACAGAGGTAGAAATGAGCCAGCTGGGCTGCGTAGGCTCGGGACAAGTAGCGCAAGCAAAAGAAGGGCCCTTCAGCCCGGAGAGAGAAGGACGAGGGTAACACACCCGGGCCCGGCAAACCTGAGAGGGAGCGGGCTGAACCAGTTACTGACCTCAGCACCAGAGCGGCAGTATTTTGCATTGTTGATTAGGAAACTATTTTCTTCTACACACAAATGTGATTTTTTTTCTCCTGCACCAACCAGTTCTCTAACACCAGCTAGGATTCAATTCAATTTCAAGGCTGTCTGTATGAAATTAGTGTCAGGTACCAGAGGTTAAGGGCTCAGTCCCACGATGCTGCTCTTATTTCAGATGCCAGTTGCAAGTAGTGGGTCCTCGGGGCCCTTAGGTTACTCATAGTTACCCGGTCCAACTGGGATATAAATTGGGGTGCCCACCCCCACCCCCCAGTTTTGGTAAGTTGCTCTAATGGTGGTAGTACTCAGGGAGACACTTACGTTGACAGGTTTATTACGTACTAAAGGGCGTGAGAATAGGTACAGGCGAACAGCCAGCTAAAGAGGCACAGAGGGTGAGGTCTGGGAGGGTCCCAGGTACAGGGGCTTCTGTCCCTGTGGGGTTGGGTGCACGGTTCTCCTGGCACGTGGATGTGTTTACCGAGAAGCTCTGAACCCTGTGTGTTAGGGATTTTTCTGAGGCTGCATCATGTTGGCATGATCAGTTATGAATTCCCTGTCCGGGGAATGGGGGCTGGAACCGAACGTTCTAAGCTTCTAATCATGGCTTGGACTTTGTGGTGACCCGCACCCACCTTGAAGCTCTCTAGGGGACCCAGTGACCTCCTCGGCATGAGAAAGACACTCACCACTCCGGAGGGTTCGAGGGTCTTGGTCTTGGGAGCTCTTGCGTCAGAACCTGGTAAAGACCAAATATTAGAAAAGTTGCTGCTCCCAGCACCCTGAACACTCGGGAATTACAACAGTTTTAGGAGGTGTGCACCAGAATCCAGAGACAAAGACCAAGTAGGTTTCTGATTCTACCGCAGTTGTTGGTGGTGGTTATTTTAATCCTGCCGTAATTACTGGTCTGGGAAATATAAGCATAGAGTGAGCAGATTTGTTCGTTGACTGAGACCAGTGCAGCCTCTTCAGTAGCTCCAGACAGATTCTAAGGATCTTTCTTACCAAAAACATCTTTTCAAGTCTTGTTTGGTGCTGGAAATTCTCAGACTCATAGATAGCTTTGAGTGATCTTAGAATGTAATGTTTTGCTAAAGGTAGATTTTCATTTTGACAATTATGGCACATGAAAATGGTGAATGTTATGTTGTACAGTGCATAATGTATGTGATGGGGGTGGGTCATGCAGAAGGGGGTGTTCCGTAGGTTTCGAAGCCTTGGTAGCTTGGAATTATTATTTGGGCTCACTGTATAGAAAAGCAGGTTATAATGATTTTAATATAGTATTCTTGCTCCTAATGAAAGCAAACCTGCAAATCTTGCTGATTTTCCTATTTAAGTGACTGAACTTTTAAACGAGGTCTTTTTGAGTGTTTTTGGTGTGATTCAGTTAGTCGGTAAGTAAATGCGGAGTCTGCTGTACAGGAAGGCAGCCTCTGTGGATCTGGACACCGTGAGTGGGCAAAGGCCAATGCTGGTGTAGAAACTTCGGGGAAGCCCCGTGTCATGACTTCAGACTTGACTTTTCCCCGGTAGTTGGTCTGCACATACATCGCATATGTGCTTTTTCTGCGTCGGTTAAAGGTTTTCCATAGTAGAAAACAGTCATTAATATTCACTTCTGTTGTCAGTGCTAGTCAGTTGTTTCTACTCCTGCCTCTGTTCTTACTGTTTCTGTTCTTACAGCGTCTGTCTGCAGAATGTAATATGTTTGCGTGTCAGAAGACTGCTGTGATCACGTTTTCCTTGCCTTTTTGAAAGATGGGCCTTAGAACTTTACTGCCCAACCAGGAGTGGTAAACAAGTGACTGTCCAGCATCAGAGGAGGAGTTAGATGTGCTCCTGACCAGTGAGAGCACCACTTGTTCCTTCAGTTGCACGGAACCAGCCCCCAAGTGGTCGGTCACGTGTGTACAAATGTGGCCTTTTCTTACAAACGCTGTTACTCCTCTCTGAACTCTGTACTGTCTAAAATTGCCATTTTATTGATGGCCTAATCGTTTTTCTGTATTCTTTTTCCAGTACTCTGTCAGACCTTCATCAAAATGGGGCTGCTGTCCTCTTTCACCTGCAGCGATGAGTTCAGCTCGCTGAGACTCCATCACAACAGGGCCATCACTCATTTAATGAGATCCGCTAGGGAGAGGGTCCGGCAGGTGAGCACCAATACGGGCACGCTGAGTGCAACGCAGGCATACAACGCTTTGCTTGCAGAGGATAGGAAATCCTGATTATAATACAGGTCTATAGAAATGCTGACTTTGATCTGTTTATTTAACAAGTGTTTATGAGTGACTCCTGTGGGGTAGGCGCTCTTGTACCCGCAGTAAACAAACTAGAATACCTGCCCACATGGAGCTTTCGTTGTGAAGAGGGGGTGCTAAACAATGGGGTAGTAAAAATATGTGAAAATAAATGGGGGGCTGGATGGTGATAAGGGTTAAAGGGAAACATAAAGCAGGAAGGGCCTTGGCAAATGTGTGGACTGTACCACAGGGGCCAGGGAGGGCCTCGCTGCGACTCAGCCAGGAGCTGAGGGCGGAGGAGGAGCCGTGCAGACTGGAGGGACAGTGCTTGGGAGGCACAGTACATCCCCAGGGAGCAGCGTGCGAGGCGTGTGGGGAGCTGACAAGCAGCCTTGTGGCTGGAGTCGGCAAGGGGAGCATGGGGGTTGGGGGGCGAGAGGGGTGGTGGAGTCGGCTCCCGACACCATTGTAATGGGTTTGCACTCAGTAAAAAGAGGCAGCAGTGCAAGATTTTGAGCCCAGGCGTGACATCACCTGACTTAACATTTTAATGGGGTCAACCAGCTCTGTGTTGAGACTAGACTGAGGGGGGCCAAGGGCAGAAGCTGGGGGACAGGTGCACTCACACAGGTTATAAGAGTTGGTGGTGGCTTGGAGTGGGCGGTGGCCATGGGAGACGCGGTCAAGTTCTGTATATAGTTTGAAGGTAAAATCGCCATTACTTACTGATGGGTGTACTCCTTGGTACATTCTCTGCTTTGTCGGTAGAAAGCAAGAATATAGCATTTTTAGCAGTGATCTTCTAGTTAAGAGAGAAATAGTTTCGATTGTAAACTTTTAGGTAATGTTGAAAAAGCCATTGAGTGCTTTTTGTTTTTTTAGTATTGTGTATGCATTTGGGACTATCAGTATGGCATTGAATTTTGATAGATTTCCCTATTTCATGAAATTTTTGAAATGCTTTTAAAAGTAGTTTTATTTTTTAAATTTTAGGATCCCTGTGATGATAATTCTCATATCCACAAGATCAGGTATGTATTGAATACTTTTATGATTATTTAAAGATTAAACTACCCCAAAGAAGTCAGGATTAAGGTTTAATCCTAAACTAATCAGAAATTAGTCTTGGGTTAAAAAAATATTATCTTTGGTTATAGTTTATGAAAAGTAAAAACTTGGTTCTCAGCAATTAATTACTGTTCCCAGATTTGCTTTACTTCTCATTGCCTTCTTTTTTTAAAATAATTTTATTTATTTTTAGAGAAATGGGAAGAGAGGGAGAGAAACACTGATGTGTGAGGGATACATCGACTGGTTGCCTCTCACACCTCCCCAAGTGGGGATCTGACCCGAAACCCAGGCATCTGGCCTGACTGGGAATCAAACTGGTGACCCTTTGGTTCCCAGGCCAGTGCTCAGTCCAGTGAGCCACACCAGCCAGGGTGCATTTCCCTTCTTTAAAAAAATTTTGTTGTTTTTGTTTTTTGCTTTTAAAAAGTTTTCCTCCTTTTCGAACCTTTGTTCCCCTCATTCACTGTGGATTCCATAAGCCCCACCCATAATTCGGAGTAATGATAACCAGTCTCTGTCGGGAAAATCATTGAATTCTGGCTATATTTTGGAAATTCTACTTTAAAGTCTGTAACTTATCTGGATCATTCAGAAATTTAAGTAACTGGATTACTGAGCTCTGCTAATCAACTTCTGCCTGTTAGTCATTGAATACTAATTACTGGTAAAATACTTAAAATTAGATTAATGACCCCTTGCTATCTTTTTAAAAAGATTTTATTTATTTATTTTTAGACGGAGGGAGGGAAGGGAGAAAGAGGGAGAGAAACATCAGTGTGTGGTTGTCTCTCATGTGCCCCCTACTGGGGACCTGGCTCACAATCCAGGCATGTGTCCTGACTGGGAATCGAACCTGCAGCTCTTTGGTTCGCAGGCTGGCTGGCACTCATACCACTGAGCCACATCAGCCGGGCCCTCCTTGCTGTCTTTATCACCCTGTTGATTTTCTTAGCCAGTGTTTTTTTTTTTCATAGAGAATGAAAAATTTCATTTTAGCTCATCCTTGCCAAATCACCATAATTCAGTGATAACCGAGGCTAGCAGGTTTGTTAGTAGTAATACGGTGAACATGAATGGCCCTAGAACATTCTGACGCCCTCATGCTTTAACATGGACTGATGGTTTGTGTTTAACTTTTAGATCAAGGGAAGTAGCCTTTGAAGCACAAACTTCACGGTACTTGAATGAATTCGAAGAGCTTGCCATCTTGGGGAAAGGTGGCTATGGAAGAGTGTACAAGGTTGTTCACCACATATTTCTTTGACCTACTGCTTTAAATAAATGCATTTTGAGAAGTTGTTTTCACTATTTAAAGTACCCAAAGGAAAATTCCTATGGAAATGCCGAAGGAAAAAGTATATACACTTTTCATTAAGATTGGTTATTTATGGAGAAGTGGGCAGGTTTTCATTTTTCCCTAATCATGTTGGTGGTTTCTGTGGATTCTGGAAACTTGGAGTTTTTGTTCTATAGTTAATTTTTATTTAAGATGCATTACTGAAAGAATTGTGCTGCTGTGTTTTGGGCTTTACAGAGCCCGTTTGCCAATATTCTTGTCCTCTAGACTTGGAGCTTCTAGGAGTTGGTCTCGCGATGCCCTCGGAAAGCTTCTGTTCTAGCTGAGCCCGCTGACCTCCCTGAGCTCAGTGAAGAGGACGCATGTCTTTAGCTTAATTCTATGTCTCTGGCTAGTTTGGGTTATCTAAGTTTAGCCTAAAAGAATGTACTTTATTCGGTTGAAATTTAATGGTACTATATACTTTTTTTCCCCTTTACTTTTTAGGTCAGGAATAAATTAGATGGACAGTATTATGCAATTAAAAAAATCCTGATTAAGTGTGCAACTAAGACAGATTGCATGAAGGTAAGATTTTCAAAATTTATTTATTTTGAATCGTCAAGTATTCAAGTTTTTTTGAAGGAGTTTTGTGTACGTGAGACAGAGAGTGACTGTGTGTGTGTGTGTTCGTATTTGGCAAATATTGGGTGGGATGGATTGCCAGCTTATTGGGTTACAGTAACATAAACATCCAAACTAAAGTTCATTGGACTTAAATGGACTTTATTTTTATTTTTATAGGCATTTCAGATTGACCACATTTCAGGGGCTGTTGCTGGGGAAACTAACTTTTTAACTAAATTATTCATGCACAGTACAGCTTGTTGTGAAAAAACACGAGCTCAGTTCAGGCCCCAGTCTTCTCCCCGATGAGTCGTGTGGTCCTGGGCAAACGACTTTGTCTTCTAAGCCACTCCTGTCTTCTGCCCTGGAAACAGGGGTGACGGCGTGGTTTCATTTACCTTGTGGACTGGACTTGCTTATAGCAGGATGATTGTAAATGAAGTATGCAAAGTGTACAGTGCTGTGTACGTGTACGTTTAGTGGGTGTAACAGTTTAGGTTGCTTATGCATGAGGCGTCCACTGCTTGCTCTGGAGCACGTGGTCTTTGATGCCATGGGCATTTACAGATGGCCGGCACGCGCTCCATCTGAGTGTGCTCCTCCTCCAGGTGCTACGGGAGGTCAAGGTGCTGGCGGGTCTGCAGCACCCGAACATTGTGGGCTATCACACTGCGTGGATAGAGCATGTTCACGTGGCCCAAAAGCAAGGTAAGCCCTTTCAGATTACATGGGGTTGAAGGTTGGCAAAGCTCGTCCCAGGGGCCAGATCTGGCCTGCCCCTGCTTTTGTGCATCCCATACGCTGAGGATTTTTTTCATTTTACATTTTAAAAAATGATAAAAGGCACCAAACAGTATTTTGTGAGCATTACATGAGATTCCACATTTCATTGTCAGTAAGTAGTTTACTAGAACACAGGCTCATTCTTGGGTGCTGTCAGTGGTTGCTTTTGTGCTGCAGCAGCAGAGACGTGTGGCTATGGCAGAGTCTCTGAGGGCTGGAGAGACCTGAAACACTCGTGATCGGGTCCTGCACAGAGTTTGCGGACCCTCCTATAGTGGGACAGGCGTTTTGTAGTTCCTCAAATGCGCCCGTCATTTGAATAAGGTTGTATTGTACTTCGTAAAAGGTCATGACATTTTTTCTTTAAAGATTTTATTAATGAACTTCTAGGCAGAGGGAAAGGGAGGGAGGAAGAGAGTGAGAGAAACATCAGTGTGTGGTTGCCTCCTGTGCATCCCCAACGGGGGACTCAGCCCACAACCCAGGCACATGGGAATCGAACCCTTGGTTCACAGGCCAGCACTCAGTCCACCGAGCCGCACCAGCCAGGGCAGGTCATGACATTTTTAGACAGGTAGTTTCACTTGGTGTTATTTGTATATTTTTCTGCCTTTGACTATAAATTAGACAATTGGGATGCTTAAAGATTTGCTTTTGTCTTTGTTCAGCAGATAGAATTCCTTTACAGTTGCCATCTCTGAAAGTGATCTCTACGCGGGAGGATGACAGGTGTGTGGACTGGTGTGGACTTCATACAGGTTGGGACTTCATACAGGGACTTCATACAGGTTCTCCTGTCACCTGCACTGGGCTGCCTTTGTGTTTTGCTGTTAGGAGCTCAGGGATGTTTTATACTTGTCTTTGCTTATTTTCCTTACAAAATATGAAATTATTTTCTCCCCTCAGATAGTCCCTGTCAGTATTTTGAATAAATGTGCCTGCTAGAGAGATTCGATACCTTTCTTCCCCCAGAGGTTTTACAGTAAGATTCATATAGACCTGAAGGAACAGTTGAGTTAACTCTGGATTTTTTCTTTACATTCATTATCATCTTTACTGTATTTTTTTCCTCCAGAGATCAATATGATGTTACAAATGATGAAAGTAACAGCTCATCCATTATCTTCGCTGAAGGCGACCCAGGAAAAGAAAAATCCTTAGGAGAATCTGGCACTGAAAATCAGAATAACAAGCTGGCCAACTACACCACCAATTTGGTCCCAAGGGACACCAGTGAATTTGAATCGTCCATTGAGTTCCGAGAAAATGGCCTGGCTGAGCTGTCTTCTGGATCGATTGTTGGGAACCAGCTGCCGCTTAGGCTCAGTTCAAACTTGGGAGGGAATTTCACATCCGCTGAGGAGTCTTCTGAAGAGAACTTAAACTTGATGGGACAGGCAGAGGTAGATTACTTTCCCTGAACCTACCGGTTTCATGTTGACCCACAGTAATTGTGCAAAGGACGGTGGTCAGATGCGGTGTCCCCTGCACCCAGCAGGCTTCCTGCCTGGCACGCCGCCCTTCCTCTGTGCCAGCCCGTCTGCCCTGTGTTTGGCCTCTTCTGTCCGTGTCCCCTGTGTCTGCTCTTCCCTCCCTCACTTCATTAACTCATTCCCTTCTGGGTCATTCCCTCCTCTAGACATTCTCATCCATGTACCTTCGAGCGGAAAGCATCATGCATGCTCTGTTTCTGTTGTATGTTAGCACCATGCTATGAACATGTGTTTATGCTGAAGGATTTTCTATGTTTTGGAACGTGGCTATGAGAGAGAGTCCAGGGAGGATTACCAGGCCAGTTTTCAGGAGACTTGTTGAGGGTTCCACTGGCGTGCTGGTGAGACTCACACGTGCTTCCCCAGTGTTGAGTATTAGTATCAAAAGAGCCTTGAAGATGAACAGGGTCTGTGCGTCACTGGTCATACCGGATTACAAAACTGTTTGCATACGTAGCACTAACTCCTGTTCAGGAATTTGTGGCTGTTTGCATGTGTGTTTTTTGAAATGTAGAACTTTGAACAGGTTCACATGAATACAGAGGAGTTGGGTTTGAGGGACTCTGAATCAGAATAGCCTTATTTCTTGATAATGAGCTTGGGAAAATTTCCTGATGCCTAAATCAGCGAGCAGCTGTGGGTTTCCTTTCTGCGTACCTTCTCCTTGGACGTTATGCACAGTGTGAAGCCAGCCGAGGTGTGTATGTGCCTTGGGGTTACACAGAGTGGCAGACTACCGTTTTTTGACTCTTGATCCCAGCTGTTGAGACTGTTCGTGTAGTGAGCAGGTCAAATAGTTTCAGTGCCTTAGTCACATCCGAGGACTTTCTGCCTTTTGACGCCTGCCCGCTTGGATTGCGACGCACAGTCTTAAGCATTGCTTTCCTTCTCCATCTCCTTCACTAGGCTTTGGGCCTCTTGGGCAGGCCTGTGTCTGTGTCCTCTGTCCTCACCACTTAGGCCAGTGCTTGGCCTAGAGTAGGGGAGTTTTGGCGGAAGGAACCACCTGGTGGTGCGGAGATGGGAGCCAACGTTGTGTCGCCCCCTAGGCGCAGTACCACCTGATGCTGCACATCCAGATGCAGCTGTGCGAGCTCTCGCTGTGGGACTGGATAGTGGAGAGGAACACGCGGGGCCGGGAGTGTGTGGACGAGGCTGCGTGTGAGTACCGGTGGGTCTGCAGGGGCGGGCCTGGGGAGTCCAGACGGGAGGGTCTGCTGCCTTCTGCCTCCAGGTGCTTTAGCTAGGGGATAAATCCTAGGGGACAAAAATCACTTTTTTTGAGCCAAAGAAACAATTATGCTTATTTCAACATTTTTTCAAGAACAAATAAGTAATTGGAAGTTAATTTTCTCTGATAGATACATAGGTAGTTGATAGTTAAGCAGTAATGCACTAGAATTTGGGTATTTGATTTTGGTTAGAAAAGGTCTTTCGAATACAATTTTTAAAAAATTTTAAGGAAAAATATAAACACTTGTTTTATTTTTTTTAACCTGAAAGTGTGACAGTCTTGCAAAAAGAGAAACTCTTATAGGGAGGCATGTGGTCAAAAGTTCATGTCCTTTGAGGACCAGATTTCGTCCCCTGCCCCTGCAGTTGTACATCCTCAAGAAATACTGTCAAGTAATATTTTAAAAATATAACAGTTATTCTCATCTGGGCTGTGCTTTGGAATCCCGTGGGGAACTTTTAGAAAGATGTCATCAATACAAAAGGACTTGCAGTGGGGAGAGCCGGCATGCACCGCCTCCGCCACCAAGGCTGGCGTCAGCAATGGTGGGTCACGTCAATGCGCGTGCCCTCAGTAAAGCACCGCAAGAGGGCGCTGCATCTCTGGTCTTTCTGCCCGAAACCCACAGTCCCGTCTGATCATGAGAAAAACCCCGGGCAAATCCCAACTGGGGCACGTGCTGCAGAACACCTGGCCAGGACTTCTCAAACTGTCCAGGTCATCAAACACAGGAAAGGCGGGACACACTGTCACAGACAAGGGCAGCCTCCGGAGACGTGCCAGCTGGATGTAGTGAGGTGTCCTGGGTAGAAACTGGAAACCTAAATGAACTGTGGACTTGTATCAATATTGGCGCATTAGTTGTGACAGATGTACCATACGGAAAAGTCCGCCCTGTACTTCTACCCTGGCAGGAGGTTGGTTGCTTCAGTGTGAGGGTGTCACAGCAGAGGTTCTTATAGTGGAACCATTGCATTTACACATGTGTGTGTGCACACACACAGAGCCCCTGGGTTGTATGCCAGATGGCGTAAAGGGGAGTGAGTCTGTGCGAACCATTGATCACAGAGTGGGCTCGTTCAGGGTGGAGAAGGGGGGGGGCATGCAGTGTTCTTGGGCTCGGAGGTCAGTGACAGGGTGATGGTTTAGGACGACTAAGTGCAGAAGAGCTGGTGAGTTCTTTCTCTATTTCTAAACTCACTTGGCTGGAAACTTCAGGATTTTCTCTTCATTGATTTTTATTTGCGTTAGTCCGACAAACCTCTCCACGCTCAGGACTCATGTGCTCGGTTGTTGTGTCACCCAATAAAGTCACTCATTTCCTTTCGTCCCATATACTCCATTTATCAGTCTTTTTTGGAGAATGAGTTCCAAATCTCACAGATGATGAAGCTCGTCCCTTGGGCTAACATAATTTATCTTTCTTCTTGCTCCATTATGGGTAATAGGATCTTCAGTCCACAGTAGGCCATGATAATGGGTTTATTAGCATTAAACCCCAGGATGGCAAGGGTTGAAGGGGGACTTAAACATGATTAAATGCAGCCACCTGGGGCCTGGGAATTGCTTACTAAGTAATTGCTTCAGGGTCCCCGAGAGAAACGGGAGGTCTCTTTCTGCTGACGGGGTCCCGGGAGGGCTGGGAGCTTTCCTAGTTGGGGGGCCCTCCCAGGTAGTTCCTGGGTTTGAACCGTTTTTGGAGTGTGGACTCCGTGTTGTGTACACAACTCTGAATGTTGTGTAGTTCTCAGATGTTAATGTATTTAGAACTACAGTTCTACAGTTAACATTGAACATTTAAATGTTAGTAAAAACAAAAAAAATTAGAAATGAAACTTTTCTTTTTTTTTTTTTTAACTTCAGGTCCTTATGTTATGGCCAGTGTTGCAACAAAGATTTTTCAAGAATTGGTGGAAGGTGTGTTTTACATACATAACATGGGGATCGTGCACAGAGACCTAAAGGTAGGTGGAGAGGAGGAATCACCGAAAGCTTCTGATCAGGGGTGACCTTGTATCAGCTCGTTGAATTAAGTGGGATCGGGTACCCTGGTTCATTTATTAGAAGGGTGTCGTTATTTTCATGTAAATCATTATAGGTTCAGAACGTCAAAACTGTAGATTGAATTTAAAATCAGTAAACCTCGGCACTTGAATACTCTCACTGTTTTTCAGGTAATAAATGTGCTCTGAGCACATTTGTAATTAATGATGCTGAGTGTACTTAACACTGATAGGAATATTGATCTGTTATTTCAAACTTAGAGGTGAAAATCTGTTTCTATAATTGTCTATCTCAAAGGAAATTTAAAATAGGAAATTTTGTTCTGTTTTCAAAATCTGAGATTATTCCAATTTTTATCTACAAAACACTATCAGGAGAGCAAATATATTTATTTCTTTGGTTGACTCTTAAATTAACTTGCATACTTTGAGTGTAAAAGTTAAATCATGGAAAATGCATTTAAAAGAACATTTAGGAACAAAAAGTTAACATGCAAGTCACAAGTCTCTTTATTTTTTGAAGGGGTGCAAGAGCCTGTAGTTTGTACGTGTGGGATGGATAGGGCCGTGGGTTACGTGTTTCTGGGTCTGGGGCTAGCCACAGGGTGCGGTTGGAGTGACTGGAATCCGAGGCATGGACACACCAAGATCTTATCTCACGAGGCAGGCCAGGTCATAACACGCGTACACAGCTCTGCACATCTTCCCCGGGAGAACGTGCTTCACGTATTGTTTGTGCCTCTCACCGTAAATGTTTCTGATGTTTCTTTTACAGATATCCTCTAGGGATAAGGGTTTCCGAGACAGCTTTATTAGGGATTCCCTTAAGGAGTGGAATTCTGGGAGCGTGATCCCCGCAGGTAGAATCCCTTGGTTATTGGTCAGTCTCAAAGGGTAAGAGCGGTACAGCAACTTGGCAAGAAGCACCTTGTTTCTTACGTTGGGGCTGCGCTGTAGGTACATGTGTACAGGGGATTCCCCGTTTCTTGTTAGGATGTTAACGTCGGCTTCAAATTCCAGCAGGAGGCCGATGACTGCCTCTCTGCCTGCAAAGCATGCCTCATGGATCGCTGTCTGGCCGTTGTGGTCCCGGGCATTGACTTTGGCTCCGTGACTCAGCAGCAGACGGATGCAGCTGAGTCCCGCGTCCAGCACGTGGCCAGCTTTGCTGGACGCAGTGCACACCGCCAGCTTAAGGGCTGTGTTCCCCGTGGAAGGGACAGAGCAGTTGACATTTGCTCCACAGGCAATGAGCGTTGCCATCATCTCCTCGTTCAGCATATCTGCAGCCACGTGAAGCGGCGTCATGCTGGATTCATCAGTGATGTTGACCTGGGCACCGTTTCCGGCTAAGATGGAGAGAACTGGACTGGTCCCATACCTTACGGCCAGGTGGAGGGATGAATACTTGTGTCTGTTGTTCACCTGAGCGTCCACTTGCACGCCATGCTCACACAGAATGCGGAGACATGTCACAGCGTCCCTCTGAATGTCTGCCAGGAGCCTTTGGACCCTGTTGCCTGGCTTCGTCCGCACGGTAGAGGCGATCGGCCAGTGCAGTAGTAGCAGGTGGAGTGTGGTGAGGCCTCGGGTGTCCCTGCAAGATAGTGAGCACTGGTTACACTAAAGCCACGTGGGAATGGCTCTGTGTGGAGAATCAGTGCTGAAGAAGGCAACGTTTAGTGGAAGTCATCCCCCGTAATTGTTCAAAGAGCTGTTTGAAATCTGCCACACCACAGCATGTTTTCGGTGCGGGGTAGGTGTCAGGGCGGTGTGCGTCCGTGCATGAACGGGCCAGCTTCCTCAGGCAGCTGGTGTTCACGTTGCTACTCCTGTGCGTCTGTGGCCTCTTCCGTGCTGCGTCTTAGTCATGTTTGTACCCCAGCTCCTCACACAGAGTCGAGCCGAGTCAGCAGCCATTACAGGGACTTGAGTGCAATGTGGTATAACCATAGAGGTGCGCCGCAGAGGGCCGCACCTGCCCAGGACTCTGGCTCTGCCCCTGCCCTGCGTGTATGGGTGGCCTAGATGACAAGGGCGCATCCGGAGACCCACAGTCACTCTGGTTGGTGAAGCCCGCTCATCTTCGCTCCCTGCGTCCACCGGGAGGAATGCGTGTTTTACAACTTGGCCCTCATCTACTGCTTTCCTGAAATCTCTCAGGATTGCCTCCAAAATCCCTTTGTTTGGCAGGGAAAAGGGGAAGGACTGTGGTGAACATCTGACTGCTCACTGAAATTAGAAAGTGGTCTTCAGTCTTCAGCTCACATGTATTTATTCGGTGTGAGCTCTGGGCGAGGGCCCTTGGTCCGGTGCAGGCCCCCAGGGGCGGCTTGCAGCTGACGGGCAGAAGAGGGTGTGCGAGGAGCCCCAGAGGAGCGTGGGTTAGTGTGTGGTGGCCCGTCCAGCCCTGGGAAAACTGTGAGAGACCTGCCTGGGTAGGGGTTGTGGTGCTCGGGGGCGAGGACGTGTAAGGATTTAGACTTTACCTTTCTGTTATGGAGGAAGAAGCTGTGCTGTTTTGCTACCCTGTAATTTCTCCGTTCACTCAGATGGTATATATTATGCACTGACGAAGTGCCAGGCATTGGTTTAGGTGGTGAAGATGTGTTTGGTGAGCAAGGGAATCTTCTGGAGGAGGTGATAAAGAGGAAAATCGCTGTTGGTTTACATTTCATTTTTCATGTCTAACGGGTATTTAAACTCCCCGAGGGCCACGAGTAGGACTTAATGTGTCTTCCACAACACCATGCCTGGGCGCTTAGTCCTCAGAGCACTTCAAGTGGCTCACTGATTTGTGCTTTTGTATTTTTCCCCACTGTTTCAGAGTATCTCATCTAATCGGTAAAGAATTGGTTCATTCAAAACATAATTTCTAGTCCACAACCCCTGAAGAGTGGATGAGTCCAGACATGACTGGGAAAACGAACATCTAAACATATCCTCGTTTAGAAGTGGTCACCTGTCGCATTACCTGACTTCCGGGTCAGCGCCGTGTTCTAACAGGCAGTGCAAACTCTGGGCCTTGTGGTACTCGGCCGCCAGATGAATGGGGACGGTGGGCTGCATCTGCTTCAGGGGAAGAAGCCACAGTGCGTTATGGGTAGCCTCCTGTTGTGATGGTTAGCAGTAATCATGGGGCTAGCCTCCCATCCCAAAGGAAATAAGTGCTCTAGGTATCTTGGTTCGCTATTTTTCTAGTATGCACATTGAAATTTTCCTTTTGTGTATTTGTGTGTGTTTATTTATTTTTGGATAGAGGGGAAGGGAGGGAGAGAAATTGTCAATGTGTGATTGCCTCTCATGTACTGCACACCCAGAAACCTGGCTGCAACCCAGGCACGTGCCCTGACTGGGAACCGAACCAGTTGACCTTGGGTTCACAGGCTGGCACTCAATCCACTGAGCCACACCAGCCAGGGCAGAAAATTTTCCTTTTCTCTGCCTGTTTTAAATGACCCAAAGCCAGTGAATTTCATATTATATAGTTTGTATGTTAAATAAAGGCACATTTACCAAGACAACACAAATAACTTAAAGCTTTGAAACTTGACTCTTGTAAAGAGCTCATACTGTAAAATGAATGGCTATTGCTGTTAAGCCACATAGTCCTTAAATTACCCCACAGGGTGACTGACAAGTGGTGTGTTTTTAAGGTTTTGCCAAAGTCATGGTATCAGTAATGAAAACTACACTTTCAGGGTTTCAGAGATAACGCAGCGTATGTCCTGTGATTAGCAAAGCTGTTTGTGCCTGGTCTGAGAAAACAGATGTGAGTGTGTGGCTTCTAGCGTGGCCTCGAGATAAGAGTCAGGGTAAAGGAGAGGGTCACATTTTGAAAAAAATTCGAAAGCTAATAGTCATTGTGTAAAAGTTTATAAAGTGAAAAATTGTATGTAAAAGCAGGAAAAGAGAATTCTATCACACAGGCATAGTCACCACTGGTGTGTCTGAGAGGATGACAGCGTTCCTCCAGCCACACGAGCTCCGATCTTCTCCCCCATCATCGTGAGAACTGGAGGGCCCAGCCTCGGGTGTGGCAGGGCAGCCAGGAGGTGGAACGGAGTTCACAGGGGCTTGGTGGTGTTCCTTCCGAAGCAAGGCGAGCCTTTTTTCTAAAAGTGACAGAGCAGCGAAGAGGGTACCTGGGTCTGAAGTACCTCGGAGCTGGAGGAGCTGGCCAGAATCGTCAAGGGCCGATTGACGGGGTGGCTTTGTAGGAGCACCCGGATGGCAGAGCAGTCTTCTCTCAGTATGGCTTTGTAGAGTTGTGTGTGGAGCGCCGCTCCAGACGAGCCCTCGTCCAGCGGCCTGGCCCTGTCGGCGGCCTGGTCTCTGCTGGTTTTCTTACCCACGTTTCCCATGAGAAACGAGAAGTACTTCAGGGCGAGGACTTACGAGGTCAGGGAAAACTTGTTACAGAATTGGTCAGCTTCCGTTCTTTACAGTTCCTTCCGTTCTGTTCTAGAACTGTTCTAGAATTGTTGAGAACCCTATCCATGAACACAGCTCGTTTTTATCTCAGAGTCAAACGTTTCGGACTTCGTTCCTCTATCATATGGTGTCGAAGAGAAGCACAGTGACGGGTGTCCGGCCGTCTGGCATCTCTGGGCCACACATTAAATACACAAACACTAATGAAAACTGATGAGCAAAAAAAAAGGTTTTCAGTAAATTTATGACTTTGCGTCAGGCCACATCCATAGCCATCCTGGGCCGCGGTTCCCCTGGTAGCACTTTCCACTTAATCACAAAACACACCCAAACTGTCACCTTATGTGTAAGATTCTTTCTACTTTCTCCTTCCATTCAGCTATAAAAAAACTAGCAAAGCTGAAACAGGGAAATTTATACATTAAAATGAGAAATTAAAATTACTGTATTTAAAATAAGAAAAACCCAGCTTTCCCCAGACTGTGTAGATTTCAGTGGAAGTCCCGCTGCCCCAGGATGGGTGCGGGGTCAGCTTCCTGGGGGCACGTTTGGGGTCTGGGGAGATTGCTGCTCCTGGAGCTCAGTGTTTATCTGCGGAGGGTGGCCTAGTCATGCCCAACCCTAGTTAACAGAACTGTCTGGGAACTTTAACTTTTTTCATTAAGAAAATGGACGGCGACTTCGGCCAAGATGGAGGTGTAGGTGGAAACACCTTGCATCCTCGCACAACCAAATCTAAAACAATAAAGTTGTAACAACAATAAACGCAACCAAGCCACACAGAAAATTGACAATACAGAGTCTGAAAACAACAAAATGCTCAGTTAAACTGGTAAGAGGGGCGAGGCCAGCAGTGTAGTGGGTTGGCCAAAAAGATCCCCGACGGGGGTGATGCGCAAGCAGCCGAAGGCACGGATCGCAGGTGTGGGCTAGCTACGGGCGGACACAGGGAAGAGGCGCGGCTGGCTGTCTGTGGTCGGTTGAGCATTTGCGTGGAGATAAACCAGTGAAGAGGCGAGCATTGAGACTGCATGGCACAGGGTGGCGGGCTTGCACATTTCTGCTCAGATAAACAGGTGGGGGTGAGTGGTGGGATGGACTGGGCAAACGGAGAGGACCGCCATTGCTCCCTCTCTGACCCCGCCCCCACATACAGCGTCACAAACCAGCGACCTGGGTGGCCCCGCCCTGGTAAACAACTAAGGCTCTGCTCCTCATACTTAATGGGTGCGAACAGATCAAAAATGGCTAAGAACAACTCAGAGCCCCAGAACCCATAAATCTAAGTGATGAAGAAATAGCCAAACTTTCAGATGCACAGTTTAAAACACTGGTGATCAGGATCCTCACAGAACTGGTTGATTTTAGTCACAAATTAGAGGAACATATGAAGGCTAAACTAATTGAAACGAATGATAATGCACGGGAAACCAATAGTAATGGAAAGGAGACTGGGACTCAAATCAAGGGAGTGGACCAGAAGGAGGAAAAAAATGACCAAAGAGAAAAGAATGAAGAATGAAGAATTCAAAAAAATGAGGAGAGGCTTAGGAACCTCCAGGACATCTTTAAACGTTCCAACATTAGAATTATAGGGGTACCAGAAGGGGGAAAGACACAACCACCAGTGGAAAAATTATTTGAACAAATAATAAAAGAAAACTTCCCCGTTCTGGCAAAGGAAATAGACTTCCAGGAAATCCAGGAAGCTCAGAGAGTCCCAAAGAAGTTGGACCCAAGAAGGAACACACCAAGGCACATCATCATTACATTAGCCAAGATTAAAATGAAGGAGAGAATCCTAGAAGCAGCAAGAGATAAGGGGACTGTCACCTACAAAGGACTTCCCATCAAACTGTCAGCAGATTTCTCAAAAGAGACCTTACAGGCAAGAAGGGGCTGGAAGGAGGTATTCCAAGTCATGAAAACCAAAGACCTACAACCAAGATTGCTCTATCCAGCAAAGTTTTCATTTAGAATGGAAGGACAGATAAAGTGCTTCTCAGATAAGATCAAATTCAAGGAATTCATCATCACCAAGCCCTTATTATATGAAATGTTAAAGGGACTTACCTAAGAAAAAGAAAATAAAAAATATGAACAGTGAAAGGACAGCAAACTCAGTTATCAACAACCACACCTAAAACAAAAGCAAATTAAGAGGACAGCTAGATCAGGAGTGAACCATAGAAATGAAGATCAGGTGGAGGATTAGCAACAGGGGGGTGGGAGAAGGAGAAGGGGGGAGAAGGTACAGAAAATAAGCATAGACAGTAGATAGAAAATGGGGAGGGTAAGAATAATAGGGGAAATAAAGAATCTAAAGAACTTGAGATACGTGTTCATGAACTAAAGGGGGGAATGGTGTGCAGGGTGGAGGGGAATGAAGGGAGGGAATAGAACATGAACTAAAGGGGGGAGGGGTGTGCAGGTGGAGGGGAATGAAGGGGGGAATAGAACAACTGTAATGGCATAATCAATAAAAAAAGAAAAAAGAAAATGGATGTCTTTGACTGCTGGAGAGGAAGCAGCTGGTAAAAGCTTCCTGGTGACCCGGGTGTCCAGTGAGGGTTGAGGCTCACCTGTGTGCAGGCAGGCTCTGCATTAGTGGTCCTCAAACTCGGAAGGACAGCCTGGGTCCTCCCCCCGGAACTTCAGTACATCTCATTTGGGGGATGGCGTGGACATGGAGTGGACTTTTCCTTAAAGTGCCCTGGACACTTGGCGTGTGGCCAAGTTTGAGAGCCGCTCTGGGTTTTCATTTTGAGGGGCCATTTGGCCCTGAGTTGAAAACTCTTCCACATCCACACATTTTTACTACTTGATTTTGGCACACCAAGGACTCAGCTTGTTCTTTTTGTTTGCAGCCCAGAAACGTTTTTCTTCACGGTCCTGATCAGCAAGTGAAAATAGGGGACTTCGGTCTGGCCTGCACAGACATCATACAGAACACAGAGTGGGCCCACAGGGGTCGGAAGGGTAAGTTTTTGGAGGCCGGGTGTTTTGTTTTTTGTCTTTTGTTTTTCCATTAAAAGAAAAATAAGATACCAGGGTGGGAGAAAGGGGGTGGGCGGGTGTGAAGAAGGTATGGGGGGATAAATGGTAATGGGAAAAATACAATCAAATAAGATGTCCGTATTTAAAGATAAGATAATTATGATGTAGTAGCAAAGATGGATTAAAAAGACAGAAAGTACCCGTCATTCCGTGGGGAGCTACCGCACCCTGCTCAGTGCAGGTGTTCTTTGATGTGTCAACACTCAGTGAGTAACGAGCAGCTTTTCCAACTGCAGGAGCACCAGCACACACTTCCAGAGTGGGGACGTGCCTGTACGCGTCCCCCGAGCAGTTGGAAGGATCCGAGTACGATGCCAAGGTAGTGTCTCCTGCCTCTCGCTGCTTCACCGGACTTGCCTCTGCAGTTGTTAGGGTGGGAGAGGGCAGTGCGTGCAGTGGGGGCCCCGGCACAGAGGCAGTGTTGAAAGTGGCGGTTCTGCAGGTTACCTGTCACGTCAAACGGCCACAATAGGAAGGAGGTCTCGCTTTGCATTTGAACCTGACCGCATTGCTTTTTAAGCTCTTACTATTTCTAAACCTGTGGGTGTGACAACCAAATGTTTTTGAAAGGAGTTTTTCCCCTTTAGAATTTCACCGTCACCTCAAGAAGATAGAATTAATGGGGTCTCTTTTCAGCCTTTCATTCTTCTGTTTTCAAACTTAACCAAACACAAAATAATGCTCCCAGGTGGGGTGTCACTTGAGTCCCTTTGAAGTAGGTACCAAAATGTTTTAGACCACGTGGTCCCTGGAAGGAATGTTAAGTAAAATCCCTTTTTCAACATAAAAGCCTAGTAATTTTTTTCCTTTTGATGGATGAATCATTCAACATTTTCATGACTGGGAAAAAGTTGCCAGGAAAAAACATAGGTGACCCTAAAATCCTGTCTAGTCCGGATCTTCCTAAAAAAAACCTGTTTTCAGGAAAAGCAGCACAGATTTCATTGCAGTTTGTTAAAGTTTACTGAGACCGCTTACCTGTGAAGCAGAGGTGAGACGTGGTGGCCCTGGGATCTGTGCATCCCCGAGGCTGGCGTGCAGGCGTGTGAGCTCACACCTGCCTCGTGTGCCAGGCCCGGATCTCCAAGGCTTGGTGGGGTCAGGTGTGTGGTAGAGACTGCTGTGGGGATGGCATCACCCCTGCCCCTCACCAGGCCATCAGTCCTTTGTGCTGGGACCCCCTTTTTGGTATGAAAAGGGTGGGGTTAGTGACAGTGCCTGTCACCTCGCTCTCAGAGGTGGCTAGCAGGTAATGCCCGTGAGCAGGAGCCAGTCCACTGTACTCCATCCTCACAGTGTCCTTTCCTAGAAGTCCTCCCGAGTTTGGGAGGACGGTGCCCTGACGTGGAACTGCTGTGCCTACCTTGTATCTCACCGACTGACTCTCTCCCCACTTTCCCAGGCCGATATGTACAGTCTGGGCGTGATCCTCCTGGAGCTCTTCCAGCCGTTTGGGACAGAAATGGAGCGAGCACGGGTTCTGACAGGTTTGAGGACTGGTCAGATACCCGAGTCCCTCAGTAAAAGGTGTCCTGTACAAGCCAAGTACATCCAGCAGCTGACCAGAAGGAACGCATCCCAGAGGCCGTCGGCGCTGCAGCTGCTGCAGAGTGAACTTTTCCAGAATTCTGGAAGTGTATGTAGTCTTTTTCACTATGTGAAGCTTAGCATTTAAATTGTGAACCCTGTTTCACGAGGAGAGCACAGGATACAATTTATGGAAACAAAATATGCGAAACTGCTGAGTCCCCAGTAGCACGCTTGTTCACAGTCCAAGTGTGCAAGATGACCGCTGCCTGCTCTAAAAATGCATTGACAGCTTCGGTTTTGGCCTCATCTTGCTAACAACTGTGGTGTGTAAGCTTTCACCAATGATTGTAACACGCCTGCTAGTGAAAAGGGACCCAGCAAAGCGGAAAGGACAGCAGGAATTCCCAGGGAGTGGGGCAGGCGAGTGGCCTGAGACCTTCAGCAGTCACAAGGGTCTGGAGTCGCCCCAGGCAGCCCGTTCCCTTCCTCCGACTGGCAGTGTGACCCATCCATTCTGCTTCTCGAGAAACTGAGTTAAAAGCTCGATTCAAAGGAGTGTTCACAGGTCCTTGGCTGCTCGGAGCATGGTCCTCACAGCGGCAGCAGCACTATCTGGGCACCTATTAGAACTGCGTGAGCTCCACCCCAGACCCCGGGTCAGAATCGACCTTCTCCGAGACCCTGAGCAGCTCCCTCGGTGTTGGAGCAGCAGTGCCCTCGGGCAGTGGTTCTTAAACTGTGGTCTGCAGACCCCGGCAAGTCGTGGGAACCTGCCAGACTTCTAAGGCCCTGTCCCCTCCCCCGATAACCCGGGTGGGGTGGGGGGAGGGGGCAGTCATCTGTGCGCTAACAAACCCTTGAAGTGACCCTTTAGTGGGTACCACTTGCACGAATTCTGTAGTTGATTTATCAGCTATTTAAGGCTAACTTATTTTCAGGCGAAACAGTGGATTTTTAGCTCGAACAGTAAACAAGTAGGTGGAATAATTTTGATTCTTAGAAGATGGCAGATGTGGTTGTTAAACGATCTCAGATGGGAGGGATTTTCTAACTCCCACCAGTGATTTGGTATTCACGGTGATGAATACTCCTGGCCTGTAGAATTTCTTATAAAATCACCTCTACTTACACACACACCTAAAACCCGTACGTACAGGCAGTCCTCCTTTCGCAGGTAGAGTGGGAAGCACTCACTGTAAAAAGACTGTGCAGAGCCCACACCAGGCAGAGGAGTCTCAATAACCAGTGGGGGAAGTTACTATTCCATGGCCTTAAAAATGTTCATCAAAACATTGAAACTCTTGTCAGTTACAGATGTATGTGGAAATCAAAACACGCTGAAACTCCTGTTTGGGGCAGTGTATTAAACATTAAAGTGTTTCAAGAGCACTGTGAACACCGCCTGCCGTAGCTCATCCTAGAACTTAGGGTGGGGAGTGAGCGCTGCTTTGGTATCCTGGGGAGTCGTGCTCCTGGCTAAGTGTGGATCCAACTTCCCATCTTTTGTGCTTCAGATGTTGTGAAGTATCTCCCAGAGTTCTTTACGTGTGAGATTTCTTGCTGGTGTCACTGCCTCGGGCTCTGACGATGAGTCCCTTTCCTCGGTCCTGCGGCTGCCCACTGGTCTAGTGCGGCAGGGCCAGTGTTCCCACATCACCTCTGTCTTCAGTGACACCGTTTCGGACCAGTCCCGTTCTCACCTCCAGCATTACTACTTCCCATCAGTTTGTTGCACTTCCGTCTCTGTGGGTCAGTTCCCTTTCAGTTGTCCAGGGAGGTGACGTGACTGGTCCAGATGAGGATGTGTACTGGTTGTTTAGTGTTTTGCGGACTAATCGGCTTTCTTACCATACCGTCGTGGTAACTGACACTTGACCCACGTTGCTGGGTGACGGGCCTTATTGCACTGAACCCCTAACTGGGATCCATGCAGATTGGGACTGTGGGAAGTGAGGCATGCCTCTGTGTTTAAAACGATGACGCCGTCTCAGTGGAGTTTAACATTTTCTATTTCAGGTTAATCTCACCCTGCAGATGAAGATACTAGAGCAAGAAAAAGAAATTGAAGAGCTGAAGAAGCAGCTCAGCCTCCTTTCTCAGGACCAAGGGGTTAAGGATGACATGAAAGACAGTGATGTTCCCATCTAGCTTAATCGGGCTCTAGAAATATGAAGGTGGACTGCAACTGTATGGGCTCAAGTCCACTGGAAGGTATAGCTTTCGTCTTTATTAGCGTGCAGATGGTGTACCGCCGTACCTAGTTGTAGTCAGTAAGGTGGTATAATACCTGACTTTCTAAAGTGAGCTTGCTTCTCCCTGATGTAGCTCTTGCCTGATCGAGCTTTTTGAACTTGACTGCTCTAAACTAACCTTATTGTGCTCTTTCCCCTGTTGTCCCACAACCTCCCATTCCTGAATCGCTTATATTGTCCAGTCTCGCAGACTAGAAGTTTAGACATCCTCGATTCTTTGGAACTCTGCCTACTGACCACCAAGTCCTCCTCTAGAAGCTACTACTGCAGAAACCTGTGTTCTGCGCCCACCACTCACTGTCTGGGCCCAGCCGGTGCTTGAGAGGGACTGGTGGTTTTGACAGTTGACATTTTTCCTGACCCTGTCACACACGGCCAGTTAACTACCAGAGGGCAACTCTGCTCATGCCCTGGCTCAGAAGCCTCTGCTGCCTCCAAGACAGAAGTTCAGCTTCTAAGCTGTGTATGTCGTCCAGCCTGTTTCTGTTCTCACCACCTTTACCTTGGCGGCATTATGCCCTTTCCAAGCTGTGCTTCTTGCCCCCGAGTGATCGCGAAGCTGCTGCGGTGCCAGGGTTCCTGCCTTCGCCCCTGTCCTGGCCCCGCAGCGTTCTCACAGCGGCCGACTCCTGCGTTCCTCAGAGGTGCCATGTGTGTTGGTTTCTGTACCCAAAGGGCGCCTGCCACGTCGCTGGCAGTGGTGTACTGCACAAGATACTGCTCGTTTTAAAATAAAACGAAAACCACAAGTTATGTGGTGGTTTTATTGGTACTTGACAACTGGCCTAAGTAAAGACTCTGATTCTGGTACAAGTCCCTTTACCAACCACAGGCATGGAACAGCACTGTTCTCAAACTCTAGTCTAAATCCACTAAAGGTCAGTTCCCCAGAGTCACTGAAGGAGCTTGAGGGCGGCGCTGAAAGGCGCCAGGTTCTCGCAGGCCCGCATCCACCTGTCCACGTTGGCTGGCACGGGCACACTGCAGCCTCCCGTCTGCCGGAGCACGGACCACAGCACCACGTCGGCCACCGTGAGCTCGTTCCCCACGAGCCAGGGGCTCCTCCCCAGAGCTGAGTTCATGGAGCAGAGCACAGCGACTTTTTCTTTATTGTTTCCCTCTTTCAGCTGGAAAACAGCTGCATCTACCCAGCTATCTATGAGCGTTAGGTTGAGCGCATTGTGCTTCTGGCCAAACAGGGAGAACAAAAACCGTGCAATGTTCCCTTCTCCTTCGATGGGACACATCCTCTGGACACTGAACTTCATCTGAGTCTTTGGCACTGAAAGGAAAACACCCCATGAATGTCAACAGCAGCAGCAGCAGCACTCACAGGAAGTACTTGTGCCCGCGGGGAGGGGACTCACTGACCACAAACTTACGGAGGGACGGTGTACCTTCAAGATCACATTTTCAGGTGTAATAGTCATAGAAGTTTAAACTATGTTTAAAGAACGCAGACCATATGCTAAGAAAGTAACCATGTCTGGTACTCAAAGTAGGAGTTTTCAAGCTGGAGGAACAGACCATCCACTGGGCTCTGTGGCTTTGCCCCCGTAATTGGGGGCAAACTCATACTTAGTCCACTGGGCAGAGGACTGGAGACCAGGAGTCTCCTCTCCCTGGTCAGAGACCCTTTGTACCTTCCTAGTCCCCCCATTTATGAGGGTGGTTAAGGATTATTGGATGGACATGAACTCCCTTCCCTCTATGGACTAACCAGGGGAGGCATTCTTCAGTGTGAGGAGTGATACTCTGCCATCCTATTGGCGGTTTGAGAAGATAACATCAGTGTCCCCTAATGATATGTTTTGGGACGTGAGGGCAGACAGCCAGGGCAGTTGCTGCTCCCCTGCTCTGGCTGCTTAGAGGGGACCTCCCCAAACTGTGCTCTGTCGGAGACCCTGACCCTCCGGGAGGGAGGAGGACATCTGTGGGTCAGGATTCATCTGTGCTCCTGTTACACATTCTGACCCGACAGTGTGCGGCTAAGAGTGTGCACAGCGAGTGTCACTGTCCCAGCACTTGCTGCCTCTTGTTAATAAAATCATGTTGCCCACTTCATGACACGGGATGTGAGTTGAGCCCAGTCCCCTCTACTTACCATTCTTCCAAATCAGAGTAAAACCCAGCTGGTGTTCATGGCGGGGCTGTTTGTTAGTCTGCTCGCCAAAGCACCTGAGAAGGTTTTCTGGCACGTTCTTGACTGCCGAGTGGGTGTGAACAGTGGACAGGACCTTGTAGCGGTCGCAGAGCAGCTGGTGCAGCACGAGCAGGGAGAGGGGCGGCGAGGCGGGGTCTGCGTTGATGACGATGTCTTTCAGAGCCCCGTAATCCTGGGGGGACCAAACAGCAGAGGATGTTAACAGCAGTCTGTGTGTGGGCTCGTCCCAGGTGCTATTTTAGGCCCTAACACCCACGAAGAGGGTGCTACCGTGACCCCGCCTCACAGCTGAGGAAGTGAGTCCCAGGGAGACCAGTGACTTATCCAAGGTCACTCAGCTCAGTGAAGAGTGGAGCTGGGCTCTGAGCTGACGCCGTCCCTTAGTTCTTGCACTGCTGGCTCCTGACAAAAGGTTGACTTTACTGTCCAATTAGTAAAACTGCATATTAAGAGTGGCACTTGTCCCTAAGTTTTAAAAAAGTCACAGGCAATCATAGCTTTCTGTGTCCGCAGGTCCCACACCAGCAGGTGCAGAGGGCCGACTGCGTGTGTTGTTCAATGTCATTTTATGTAATGGACATGAGTCTTGGTGGATTTTGGAGCCCGAGGGAAAACCTGGGTCCCCCATGGACCCGGAGGGCATACCCCACTCCCCAAATTTCCCTAACGCCTGACAGCATCTAGTTTCTGCATCAATTTGTGTTTGCATTATCTGTCAGTGAAGAGTCTCTTGAAAAAAGGTGTTGGCTCAAATTATCACTGGTGATGAGAGGTGGCGGAGACTATAAAAAGCTAGGCGCTCCCTGAAGCACGAAAACCTCCCACTTTGAGGCAGACTTCGTTTCTGTACACTCACTGCCATCACCACTGAACTCACAGCCTGGCTCCCTGGACACAGCCCGTGGCATCCCAGCCTCCGGGCTTGTGTGCCGAGCTGATGTCCTGCCCAGGAGCTAGGGTGAATGCCCTGCAGCTCCCAAACACGCCTGTCACTTGACACCGTGCCTCTGGAGGTACCAGAATCCATTTTCGGCAGCATGTGTCCTGAGTCTGGCACAGCTGTGTGTCGTCACTGGCTCATCAACCAGCCTGGCTCCCTGTGGGCCTGGCCAGGTCTCCCTGGCACCTCTGTGCACGCAAACACATATGGGGTGGTAAAAGGACTCATGTACAGAGGGACTGAGGCTACCAAAAACAGAGCCCCAGGACAGACACTGTAATACCACCTCCACTGTTCAGGTCCTCAAGTAGCACTATTCCTATCACCAATTCGAGTTGGGGGATTAGAAGGCATTCTTGGGACAAACCCTTTTGTGCCCTCCAATAAATAATACTTTGTAATAGGACATTTTTTCTTGTCACATTATACCCTAAACTAGCTGAAGACCACAGACTGTTCATTAAAGGTGGCTGATACAGCTTAGTTTTAATAAAGCGAAAGGAATTTAAGCAAAACACACTTGAAATATGAGACTGATTGGCTCTTAGCGATCTATTTCAACAAGATTGGTGGGACTTTCTTGCGTGAGCAGGCAGAGCCCCCAAATTCAGGCTCCTGTCGGAGTCAGGGTTGACATGTCTCTCCAGGGCTCAGGCTGCTGGAATGCTGCCTGGAATGGGTGGGGTGGGGGGAGCTGCAACCTGACTCCCTTCTCTGCCCTCTGCACCGGGTCTGGGAAGTCAAGAACTTGCTTTGGCTCCACTCGTAGCCCATGAACTTGCTCTTTGCAATGGCACAGTCTTGTGAGGGAGAAAAAAGAGCATGCTCTTTTCACCACCTCCGAAAACTAGCAAGCCGTGGACTCTTTCCCATAAGCCCCATTTTCCAGCACTAATCATCACCTACTGTGCTGACGTTTTCGGACTTTACATGAACCCACCTTTCCAAGTACTGAATTTAAGTCCAATGCACTGGTTGATAAAGCAGCGGGCTCTTCGGCTTGGATTATGTTGGTTACATCCAAGTCCGCATCTGGCGTCTGAATCATCTTGGAGAGACCATCAACCGCAGCTTTCAATTCGTACAGACGTTTTAAAATATTATCTTGGCGGGACTCAAGAGCATGAAGAGATGGGTCAGATTCTCCCTAAGCAAACCAACACAGAGTGTTATTTCCTCTGACATCACAGCAGTCTGCTTAATTTTATCACTTGTCTTCTACTTACTATAGTTCCACAAGTTCATCAACCCTCCCATCTTTTAAAAAGACATTAAAACCAAGTAGCATAATCATCTCATTTTTCCACAGTCCAATGGGTCCTGCAAGTCAATTCACAAATGCTTTAAAACAAATAACTGTACCCTGGCGGGTGTAGCTCAGTGGATTGAGTGTGGGCCTGTGAACCAAAGGATTGCAGTTCGATTACCAGTCAGAGCACATGCCTGGGCTGCAGGCCAGTTCCCAGCAGGGGACACACAAGAGGCAACCATACATTGATATTTCTCTCCCTCTCTCCTTCCCTTCCCTGCTAAAGATAAATAAATAAAATCTTTAAAAGAAAAAAAACAAAAACAAATAAATGTGACTGAAAGCCACTTTGAAATTGTATGATTCTAACTTTTGGTTAATTAGTATAAGAATAGAAGAACAAAATAAATACAAATTTTTATTCTTTATTATCAAAACTTCTTAAATAGAAAAAAGGGCAGTGAAAATGTGACTCAATTTATACTAATAGAAGGGAAAACGGAGCGCACACACTTTAAAAATGTGTTTGACTGGAAGTCTGTCCATGAAGTCAAATGATCATTTCCCAAATCATTCATTCTCAGAGCTGTCCCAGAATTCTCATCTTAGTCATCTAGAACTTTTCACTGCTTACATGTATAACTTCATAAACACAGAACACTTACATTCTTCATTCACTGAATCTCTGCATTTTTCTTGCCTGGTATAGTGACTGGTACACAGTAAGTTACCACTAACGTTTAGAGTAAGTCTCAAGTCAATATAGATTTACCTTATAAAATTTATAAGTCAATATAGATTCACCTTCTCAAGATACCTCTCAATATATACATTGTACAACCTATTTCCAGATTCATGAGCTCTCACAACAGATAATCCATTCTGCACCAAGAAAATAAAATGAGCAGAATGCTCATAACTAGACAGAACAGTCAAGAGTATGACGATGACCTTGAGGTCATTATAAATGGTATGATGTTAGGATTACTGGCTCACATTTGTGTGCTGCTAAGTTGAATTCTTGGGGACCTCTGTTCCTCCTCTAGTCACTCCTAATACTGCTGTCTCACGCTGCTGTAATTCATCACCAAGTGCTGTCATTTCCTGGAATTCATGTGCTTTCCAGCATGCCTGCAGCCACTGCCAACGCCCAAGTTCAAGGCACTGTTTTTTTTTTCACCTGGCCTACTTCCGCCAGTCATCTTGCACCCATTCTGGTCTACCCCTCTAATCCATCCCTAGGATGGCAGCTACACACATGAAAACAAAGGCAGATCCTGTCACCGCCTCCCCAGTGCTAACTTAGGGGAGCCCTTAACCTGCTTGATAAATAACTTACATGATGTGTCCTCTGGCTGCCTCTTCTCATAATTCACCCCTGCTTTGCCTCTAGTCACACAGGCCTTTGGATTCCTAAAACACACCATACCCACAGTGGCCACAGGACTTTTACTCATTCTGTTCCCTCCTGCTACAACATTCTTTCCTCTTCTCTCATCTCAATCTCTCTTTATCCCGGGCAGGGTTGCCCAACTCACCACCCAGTATGGCTATGAATGCGGCCTAACCATGTCATAAATGTACTCAGAACCTAGCCCTGGCTGGCGTAGCTCAGTGGACTGAGCGCGGGCTATGAACCAAAGTGCCGCTGGTTCAATTCCCAGTTAGCACATGTTTGGGTTACAGGCCAAGTCCCCACTTGGGGGCACACAAGAGGCAACCATACATTGATGTTTCTCTCCTTCCTTTCCTCTCTAAATATAAATAAAAATAAAATCTTTAAAACTAAAAAAAATGCTGGAGACATTAAAAGGGTAGTAAAAAATGAACTACTTTATTAAAAAAATTTACTTAGAACCTTTTGTTCTTGCTCATCAGTTTTCAATAGTGTTTGTACATATGATGTATGGTCCAGAAATGCCAAAAGGTCGGACACTCGTGAGACTGGATTCAAAAACTCTCAATGCACTGAAACACTCAACAGAGTAACATGGCCTGCGATTAAAGCTGCCAGCACATCTGAATCTCACCTCTGGATCTGAGGAATGAGGAAATGCTCAAACCTGCTTTACCTATCATTCCGTTTATTGTTAGTCTGTTGTTGTTCTTCCTCAGGCTAGTCTGTGACTTGGAATATTGTTTACCCATCTGTTTTACCCTATATGCATTCAGAAGTTTATTCTTTGAGATGCTCTTATCACGATGGACTTCTAATTACCTATCCAGTGCAATTACCTGCTACAGAAGAGGGGCTGTGTGTCTTAAAAATTAGCAGCTTTGGGGAGGGTGCCAGCATCACCAATGGGCATACACTGCTGGTGAAAGCATACATCAGCATAACCACTTTGGAAAGCAATTTATCAAGTAATTACAGCTGAAGACGGACTTGTCCGCCGAGTAAGCAATGCCATCCCTAGTAAATACTCCGCCTGCGCGTACAGAAACGTTCACTGCAGAACGAAGTAGCTAACAATGGAAACCAGCCAACATCCGTGAGCAGTGGGATGGGCAAGCCGTGGGGTTACGGCTATGCGTTCGGACAGCAGAGAAGACGAGTACTTCGTCATTTCACGTAACAAAAGCTAGTCCTGAAATCATGATGTCTAGAAGCAGGAATTGGACCCAAGACACAAACTGTATGCTTTCACTCACAGCACGACTACGTGGTTTAGGGACGCATCGTTAGGTGGCCCAATAAAGAGAGAAAAGCAAGCAAGATACGCTCACTGCAGTCGGGCCTTTTGGGGGTAGTTTAAGTGGGGCACTTACAACGTTTGCTACCGTGGGTGGTGGTGACACTAGGGTTCCCATTATTAATATGGGCGGCACTGACGTGCTATTCGCTTTTCTGCGGATAAAATTTCCGAATAGAAAAGTTTAAGTAACCACAAGTGAAAAAAGAAAGCAGACAACACGACGCGGGCCTAGATAGCCCCCGACCCCTACTCCAGAGACCCCGAGGCCCTGGCCACAGCGCCTGCGCGCCTAGGCAAGCGTCTCGGCGACTGCGCACTAACGAATGGGAGGGTAGGGATGGCGCGCTCCTACCTGCACGTGGACCGCGTTCTGCGCCAAGCTGCAGCTTTTGCCGTGCACGTTGGGGAGCCGGTACATGCAGGTGGGAAGCTCTACACGGAGAGATGTTCCGCTCCCGTGATAGGGCTTTACCTGGTACATCGGCATCGTGGGGACCAGAGGAAGAAAGGTGACGGATGAGGGACACGAACGCCCAGAATACAAGAAACCCCACCACAAGCCGCGGCCACCTCCTTTCCGCTCAGGCTGCTAGCGCTCTGAAAGCGCAGTTTGTGTGCTCTAATTGGCCCAAACTCTCCCGACGTCACGACCTTTCATACCACCAATAAGCGAGAAGGAGTTGGGCATCAGTTTCCGCCCCTATGCGGAAGGGGAGGGGCATGTTTCAGAAGCAGCCAATGGGCGGTTAGGAGGCGGAGCACCCGTGGGAGCGCCGGGACGTAGGGTAGCGAGTTCTGAAGTGGAACCAGCTGTGCATCCATGGAGCAAGGCGGAGGGCAGAGGTGAGCGGAGTTTGCAGTCCCCCCTCCCGGACGCCGTCTCTCAGGTGCACAGCGTTCCAGGCCCCTGCAGAGGAGGCGAAAATGTCTGTGGCGTTTGGTGAGCCCGCAGCACGCAGGCCCCGGGGCGGGCGCCTCGGCGCCCCTTGGGGAGCACTTCGAGGTCGGGTCGCCGGGGACTCGGCAGGCTCCCACGCGGGCTCTACTCGGGACCACATGTCCCGAGACCTAAAGCCGGGCATGAAATCCCAGTAGAGTTGAATTCCTTTCCTTTTTGCCTGTAAAAAGGGCAAAAAGGCTTTGCCCTTTGCCTGGCTTTGTCTGGCTTTTCTCTTTTTTTTGAAACAAAAAGTTATTATTTTGGGGAGGCTTCAAGGCGTATGCTAATTTGCATTGGCGCGGTTTAAAAAATGCAGAACTTGTTCACCTCCTTGAGAATGCGAGTACTGGCGGGTAAGCCACACCGGGTTCGGGGTACGGCCGGTTCTGTGCATTCAGGGTCAGAATACTTGAGCCCACCCACTTCGCTGTGCTTAAGTGTTTTATTCCCACCCCTCAAAGTAAATCATCAGAAACGGACTGGTAGCCTATGGCTTCTGTGCCCTGTTACACCGAAGTTATCAGGCCGTTTACTAGACATTTCCTGTAAGGAATGGAGTGCATTCTTAGGATGAGCGCAATTGGCCGGACAGGCGCGGGACGTGGCCGCGATCCAGGCAGACAGACCTAATAGGGAGCATTGTGTAAAAGAGACATTGGTATTCAGGCAACGGTGGTTTGCTAAGACTACAATGCAGGGGAATTGTCGAAGGGAGGATTGGAGGGAATGAGAATTTTATTTTTACTTTATGTAGACTGGTCCCAGTTATGACTAGATTGCAAACTTCTTGTAGCAGACAGTGGACGCTGCTAAGTTTTTCAGTAGAAAAAAGTACTTGGCCAGATTGGTGCTTTCTAAAGTAACTGTGGTATTGGCATGGGGGATGGATCGAAGTGAGGAAGAAGTGGAGACATATGGGTTGGAAAACTGATAGTGGGTGGGGTACAGCCAGAACTTTGGGGTCTTTGCCAAGGCAGCCTCTGGCAGCCTGGATTTGGAGTGGGGAAATCAAAGGCAACTATGGGACTAGTTTTATGATTGGTGTCTAGTTTCTATGATTAAAAAAAAGATTTTATTTATTTTTTAGAGAGAGGGAAGGGAGAGTGAAAGAGGGAGAGAAACATCAGTGTATGGTTGCCTCTCATACACTTCCTACTGGGGACCTGGCCTGCAACCCAGGCATTGACCCTGACTGGGAATTGAACCGGTGACCCTTTGGTTTCCAAGGCCAGTGCTCAGTCCACTGAGCTACACCAGCCAGGGCTTCCATCCAAAATGATTTTGGTTTTGACATGAGCACCATGTATTGCCCACTGTACTCTTGGTTCTTCAAATTGTGTGACAAATGTTTTCACTTTTCAAAAAAGAAGATCCCATTCTTGCCAAAGATGATTGACCCATAGCATGAGGGTATGTGTGTCTTTTCTTTGTAGATCCCAGTATAATTAGATTTTTAATATCTATTGCAATTAAAGTATCTACTCAGAAGAGCTTTTTTGGACAAATGTTTAAGGATTGTAGAACAACATTTAGTATTTGTGACTATAATAAATGCATATGTTTATATAACCAAAGAACACGTTAGGCTCATTAACTATTAACAAAAATTAATCACTTCCTACAGTTAAAATCAGGATGAAAAATACATAAGTGCATCCTTGCTTTGCTTCTTGTTACTATTTTTCTTTCTTTTTTTTTTTTTTAGCACAGGATGTGCTAAGGCCATCAGACCTATCGATCAGAGGTCGGTCCATCAGATTTGTTCTGGGCAAGTGGTATTGAGTCTCAGCTCCGCTGTGAAGGAGTTGGTAGAAAACAGTGTGGACGCCGGTGCTACTAATATTGGTGAGTTTGGAGACTTAACCACAAGAAATAGTGTGTGTTATTTTATTCAAGTAACGTTTGCTACTGTCATAAGACACTCAAGTTTGGGGTAGTGAGTAATTACTTTTAACTTAAATGTAGTTATTAAAGTTAGTTATTAAATGTAGTTAATACTCAGTAAATTCAATAAAAAATAAAATGAGAAAATTTAGTTAATAAAATAAATTATGAGGTACCTAGTACTTGGCTAGGTAGTTATAATAATAGCAGTTGACTTTCATCGTGTTCTTACTATGTGCTAGGCAGACATTGTGCTAAGAACTGTGGGTGGGATACCTTATTTAATCTGCAGAAAAGCGTTACGAGATAGGAGTTATTACTATTATTATCTTTATTTTACAAATGAGGAAGTTAAGGCATAGGGAATTTACTTTTTTGAGATTATAAAGCTAGTAAAATATGACCCCAGGAAATCTGATTCCAGAGCCTCTTCTCTTTAATGTTTTAATAATATTTTATGTTAAAATTATCCTTTTTAAAAAATTATCCTTTTTAAAGAAAGAAAAAGGAATAAAAATAACTTTATTAGGGCTAGTAAATAGTCAAGAAAGACTTAAAAAATAAAATACGGAAAATGGCAATAGTACATTTAAATAAGTACAATTATGACTCAAATTTGCATTATGTAAATTATAAATATGGTCAATATAAAGGCTTTTACTTGGATCACTTATTTGAGGAATATATATTTTAATCGTTTTAGACCTAAGGCTTAAAGACTATGGGGTGGACCTCATTGAAGTTTCAGACAATGGATGCGGGGTAGAAGAAGAAAACTTTGAAGGTTTAAGTAAGTTGAATTTTTCTAACCCTATGGTTAAATATTTGGGTAAAACGTTTGAAATTTTGAGTAAATACAAAAACAGCTTTTAAAACCCACTTATTTTGGAAGGTATTGTGTATGTTCATTTCTCTACCACTTGAGATATCCTAGGCCTCTCTTTACGCCTCTCTTTCAGCTCTGAAACATCACACTTCTAAGATTCAAGAGTTTGCTGACCTAACTCAGGTTGAAACTTTTGGCTTTCGGGGGGAAGCTCTGAGCTCACTTTGTGCACTGAGGTGATGCAATATTTTTATTCACTAACTTGACTCCTTGTAAAAAAAAATTCTCTGAAAACTAACAGTATGCGTAGAACCATTATTGTCTGCACCTTTTCATCTCAATGTTTCAGCCTCTCACCCCTGCATTCTCTGTTATCTTGCTACCAACCCAAGTGGAAATACCTCTGAAATGTAAGCAATGAATGAATGAAATGGGGCAAATAGTACTGTGAAAAAATCACTATCCTGTAACAGTTTCAAAGCAATGACTTCTCAATTTTAAAATAACATAGATAGTAAATTATAGGTGCTGTTTGAATTTCATTTAGGAAAAAATGTAATAAGCATTTATATAATTACACAACATTCTAAATTTTTATAAATACTTGTACATTTGAATTATAATATGTTGGATCCTTTAAAAAAATTTTGTGAGAACATTAGTAACAAAACGGAAAATTTCATTTGTGAATATATACGTTTGGATATCTTATTGTTTTATATTTCAATAAAAAATCAAAGTTTTTATCAAAACAAAGCATTTACAGAACTCCCTGTCTCACTGTCCATTAGGTGCCAAACCTGGTGACTCCTCCCCCGTTTAAACTTTTGATTATCTTAGCGGATCATCATCTCTTCTGAGAGTCTGGAGAGAACAGAAGTGAGGAGGTGACTGTGTGACGTCCCGCACCGGGAGTCTCTGGCTGACCACGCTGTGCCTGGTGTTCTCTTCCAGTGACGTCACCATTTCTACCTGCCACTCATCTGCAGAGGTTGGGACTCGGCTGGTGTTTGATCACAATGGGAAAATTATCCAGAAAACCCCATACCCACGGCCCCGAGGGACGACGGTCAGTGTCCAGCAGCTGTTTTACACGCTGCCTGTGCGCCACAAGGAGTTTCAAAGGAATATTAAAAAGGTGCGTTCAGTTCACGATCCCAGCATCCAGAAGCGTGGAGACTGTAATGAACCCGCAGCAGAGGGGCTGTCAGAGCACTTTACTCTCCACTTGTTCTCTCTGGTTGAGTCTTAATGCCTGTGCTTTTTAAACAGGAGTTTGCCAAAATGGTCCATGTCCTCCATGCGTACTGTATCATTTCCACGGGCATCCGTGTAAGTTGCACCAATCAGGTGGGGCAAGGAAAACGACAGCCTGTGGCCGGCACCAGCGGAAGCTCCAGCATAAGGGACAATATTGGATCTGTGTTTGGGCAGAAACAGGTGAAGGCAGCCGGGGATCTAAGGGCGTCTTACTGCTCTAGTGAGCGGGGCTGGTTTCTATTGTCCTTTCCTATAGAATGGGGAATAAAATCCAAGAATTAATTTTTTTTATTTGGTACCTCTCGCAGAAATGAATACCGAGTTCTGAGAGTTTTTATTTTACTCCTATAGACCATAAAATAATACTTTTACTCTCAGAAAAAATATAAAATATTGTAGGCAGTGTATTGATTATGGGTAAGTAGGCGCTACATGTTTCGTCTTTCTAGAGAAAAATCAAAGTGATTTTAGTACTCCAGAAGCAGCTGTTGAGATTCTTTGTGCTCTCACTGTGGTTAGTTGAGGAGGAGGGAAAACGTAAAACCCTGGTGTATTCTCGTCTGAGGTTCGGTCCTCTCTGTTGGGAAATAACTGGGAGTCTTGGTTTCTTCCAGCTGCAGAGCCTCATTCCTTTCGTTCAGCTGCCCCCTAGTGACGCCGTCTGCGAGGAGTTCGGGCTGAGTGGCTCAGACGCGCTGCGCAGTCTGTTTCAGTGAGTAGATGGCTGCTAGGAAAATGACATGTTTTCCTAGAGTTTTTGACTTAAAAGACAGTGGTATTAAGGCTTCTAGTTTCTTTTGACCATTATAAATCTGTAAGCGGTATTATTGCTAAAAAAGAGGGTTTACTTAAATCAAACACTATTCTGGGTAACAGGTGTGTTTCAGGGTTTTTTTTTCCTGTTGAATTAGTCTTCGTAGCAAAGGTTGTGTTTAGTGAACAATTAGAATAACTTTAAAAATTAGTTTATGTATAATGTTTGACTTTATTGGGATCTGGCAGAAAGCAGTAGAGGCTGTGTTTGCTTTAATTCGTGTCTTACCCGAAGTCCAGTCCAGCATCGTTACTGTTAGTGTAAGAAAAATAGACCTTTTCTGTAAGCAGGACTGGTCCTGGGAGGTCCGAATTGCTCACCCTTTCTCCGTGTGCCTTTGGCTTATGCCCGGAATTGAAAACAGGGATCCATTTCTTTATGTGAAAGCATCGTACTTATGGAAATGCCAGTGTCCCTGAGGTTGATCCTGGGTGGAATAAGCACCTTACTAGCATCTCAGTAGATACAAGTTTACCGACAGAACAGATTTGAAAAGGGCAGGTATTGTGGGCAGAGATCCTGGTGGCAAGTAGCTGGGGATTTTCCGGCCAGCATGAAGTTTCCAGGGCATGAGTTTGCCTCCTTGTATGGAGGTCAAGGATTTAATAGGGAAGGTGAGAGGAGGGCTAAGCAAATAGTTTTGAACCGTGGCATTGCCCGTAGTGGATTTGCTCTACAGGAGCTTCAGAACCTTCCAGAAGGTCTCTGCGTTCTTTTTATGATTCACCAGAATGGAACAGAAATGCACGTGAATTAAACATTAGTGCTTAGCAGCAGGCCACCAGGTGTTACGTCCTCATTCCTTTCTTACTTTAAGAATGTGCCATGTCTGTGTTTCTAATCCCGCTCACTCCGGACTCCTGCCCTTGGTGTCGCTGCGCAGAGTCTCGGGTTTCGTTTCCCACTGCACTCACGGCGCCGGACGGAGCTCAGCGGACAGACAGTTTTTCTTTATCAATTGGCGGCCTTGTGACCCAGCAAAGGTATTTACATTTTTTTGTGTGTTTTTAAAGTCACATACATACATTTCTTTGTACATTTAAATGTGCATTAGGAGTCGCATTGTTTGGTGTTTTTTTTTTATTTTTAATTTTTTTATTGATTATGCTGTTACAGTTGTTCTATTCCCCCCTTCATTCCCCTCCACCCTACCCCCCATCCCCACCATTACCCTCCCTTTAGTTTATGACCATGTGTCTCAAGTCCTTTAGATTCTATATTTCCCATATTATTCTTGCCCCCCCATCTATTTTCTATCTACTGTCTATGCTACTTATTTTCTGTACCTTCTCCCCCCTTCTCCTCCTCCCACTCCCCTGTTGCTAACCCTCCTTGAGATCTTCATTTCTATGTTTCCACTCCTGATCTAGCTGTCCTTTTAGTTTGCTTTCGTTTTAGGTGTGGTTGTTAATAACTGTGAGTTTGCTGTCCTTTCACTGTTCATGTTTCTTTAACTTCTTTTTCTTAGATAAGTCCCTTTAACATTTCATATAATAAGGGCTTGGTGATGATGAACTCCTTGAATTTGATCTTATCTGAGAAGCACCTTATCTGTCCTTCCATTCTAAATGAAAGTTTTGCTGGATAGAGCAATCTTGGTTGTAGGTCTTTGGATTTCATGACTTGGAATACCTCTTTCCAGCCCCTTCTTGCCTGTAAGGTCTCTTTTGAGAAATCCGCTGACAGTCTGATGGGGACTCCTTTGTAGGTGACTGTCCCCTTAGCTCTTGCTGCTTCTAGGATTCTCTCCTCCATTTTAATCTTGGCTAATGTAATGATGATGTGCCTTAGTGTGTTCCTTCTTGGGTCCAACTTCTTTGGGACTCTCTGAGCTTCCTGGATTTCCTGGAAGTCTATTTCCTTTGCCAGATTGGGGAAATTTTCCTTTATTATTTGTTCAAATAGGGTTTCCACTCGTGACCGTTCCTCTTCCCCTTCTGGTACCCCTATAATTCAGATGTTGGAGCGTTTAAAGATGTCCTGGAGGTTCCTAAGTCTCTCCTCCTTTTTTTGAATTCTTGTTTCTTCATCCTTTTCTGGTTGGTCATTTTTATCCTCCTTCTGGTCCACTCCTTTGATTTCAGTCCCAGTTTCCTTTCCATTACTATTGGTTTCCTGTGCATTGCCATTCATTTCAATTAGTTTCGCCTTCATATATTTGTCTAATTTGTTGGTATAATCAACCAGTTCTGTGAGGATCCTGATGACCAGTGTTTTAAACTGTGGGTCTGAGAGTTTTGCTGTTTCTTCATTGCTTAGATCTATGGGCTGTGGGGCTTTGAGATCTTGCAATATTTTTGGTCTGTTCTGGCCCTTTAAGTGTGAGAAGCGGTGCCTTAGACTCCCAGGTCGCTGGGTTGTGACACTGTATGTGGGGGCGTGGTCAGAGCGGGGAAATGGCAGCGCCCTCTACTGCCGCTTGCCGCGGGGACCCGCCGGGCCCCGGTCCAACCGCCCACTCCCTCACCTGTCCGCTCGCGCACAAATGGGCGACCTCAGTCAACACGCAGCACCGCTTCCCCGCTGTCTCCTCCGCGGTCGCTCACTAGGTCCAACCCTGCACCTGGATTCCGCGCCTCTGGATTCCGCGCCTGAGTCCGTCTGACCGAGTTTTCCTGTGCAACCCCTCACCAGCCTCTGGTTTTGCCCTTTACCGGTCAGGCTGAAGAATTTGTTGTTAACGGACTTCCGAAAAGTTCAATTTTCCGTGTTCTGGCTGTGTTTTCTGTTGCTAATATTTAGTTGTCTCTAAACTTGGTTGTGTGAGAAGGCACCGCACATCCACCTATGCCTCCATCTTGGCGGAAGTCCGTCTCTTTTTTTTTTTTTTAAGATTTTATTTATTGACCCTTAGAGGGGAAGGGAAGGGGAGAGGGAGAGAAATATCAACGTGTGGTTGCCTCTCGTGTGTCCCCTGCTGGGAACTGGCCTGCAACCCAGGCATGTGCCCTGACTGGGAATCGAACCGTGTTCCTCTGGTTCGCAGGCCCCCACTCAATCCAGTGAGCTACACCCACCAAGCCTGTTTGGTGTTTCTTCAAGAGCATCTTTAGGTTGGAAAAAGATTGAGTCTTAGGAATCTGTGGTGGAGGGGCACAAGGAAGCTTTTTTTGGGTGATGGATGTATTCATTATTTGTTTATAAACTTAATCAAATTGTATACTGTAATATTTTATTTATTTTTGAAAGAGAGGGAGAGAAACATCGATTGGTTGCCTCTCGCACGCCCCCAACTGGGGACCTGGCCTACAACCTAGGCATGTGCCCTGACCAGGAATTGAACCGGTGACCTTTCAGTCTACAGGCTGCCTCTCAGTCCATTGAGCCATACCAGCCCAAGCTCAAACTGTACACTTTAAATATGTGTGATTGATTGCAGGCCAGTTATTCTTCCTGAAAGCAGTTGAAAATGTATGCCTTCAGTGGTTGTTTAGGATAGTGTGTTGATATAATTCAGGAGGAAGGGAACACTTATTCTTTGCTAATCTTTTCTTTCATCTATAGGTTTCCAGACTTGTGAACGAGGTCTATCACACGTATAATCGGCATCAATACCCGTTTGTTGTTCTTAACATTTCTGTTGATTCGGGTGAGTTCCACTGACACTTCAGTAAAATTGGGGACTTACTCCTAAGAGAATACAGTGAAATTATAAAGCTCCGGTATGACTGGAAACAGAGTTGTGGTGACAATGAGCGGCCATGTACTTTTTTATATAAGACTTTCAATTTTATTTTATAGACTTTTATTTTGTTTTTTATACAGATTTTTTCACTTTCTACTTGTCACTGTGTTAGTCGTATTATTAGAAAAATGTGGGCCTGGCTGGTGTAGCTCAGGGGATTGAGCATGGGCCTATGAACCAAAGGGTCGCCAGTTCAATTCCCAGTCACGGCACAGGCCTGGGTTGCAGGCCAGGTCCCCGTTTGGGGACACGTGAGGAGCAACCACACACTGATGTTTCTCTCCTTCTCTTTCTCCTTCCTTTCCCCTCTAATAATAAATGCAATCTTAAAAAAAAAAGAAAGAAAGAAAAATGTGACTTTTTCACGTCAACCAAAGGAGAATGGGGACTGTGTTCTTCCTGATTTTGAAAATGATTTATTTATTTATTTTTCTGATTGTTAAAATCTGGTTTATTGTTATCCAATATTTTTTCTAGGTACTTAGAAATACATAGTGGTGTATATATCTACCCATATCCTTTGGGGTCAGGAAATAATTTTGGATAACTTCGTGTTGTACTTTTTTGTCCTTAGAACTGAATATTTTCTTTTGCATGTCATTAAAACATATTCATAAGCATGATTTTAATAATTGTATTCATTATATTAATGTACGGATCCATCTTAATTTTAAACTTTTTTATTTCATTTTTTGGCGATTTAAATATTGTCCTTATAATTAAGTCATTATCTATATATTTAATTATTTCTCTAAGGTAAATTTCTGGAATTAGAATCACAGCATTCGTGGGTATGATGGTGGTGTATCCGTTTGTACATTTACCCACAATGTCCTGGGTACTGTGATTTTAACCAGATTTAGCAGGTGATTAAGGTAACATCTTTAGTTTGTGGTCCTGTTATACATTTGCGTGTGTTGATTTACTCTTTTTCTTTTCAAGTTACCCATTCACATCCTTGCATGTTTTACCCATTTATAAAATTGTTGGCCTTTTCCTTGTTTACTGAAAAGAACGGATTTTGTCATTTATAACTAGTGATCTGGGCAACCGTAGTGTTTCGAATAGCACTTTTGTCAGTACAAGTGAATGAAATAGTAGGCGGGAACACTTCTCTTGTTAAAGGTTCATTCAGACGCAGTGACTGTCGATTCCTTTTTTGCCTCAGAATGTGTCGATATCAACGTCACTCCGGATAAAAGGCAGATTCTACTGCAAGAGGAGAGACTCCTGCTGGCGGTGTTGAAGACGTCTCTGATGGGGATGTTCGACAGCGATGCCAGCAGGCTCAGCGCCAGTCAGCAGCCCCTGGTGGGTGTGGAAGGTAAAAAGCTACGAGTAGAAATGGCTTCCATTACGTGGTGGTCGTGGTGCTTTCCTCAGTACTTTGGACCCGGAGTAAAATCTCCTCTTACAGATAGAAAGGGCACGTCACACTAGAAAGTGAGCCGGTTAAAAAGAGCATGAGTGACCACCTGTGCTACAGGGGGACGTGCTCTTGCCAGGACTTGACCTTCGGCTGCAAGGCTCTTCGGTTCCAGAGCTCCGAGGAAGCTGCTGCTGACAGTTGCCTGTTTTCTCAGCCCTTTCTGGGAGGAGGGGGTTTGGAGGCCCTTTCACTGTCGTGTTCCCTCACATCACAGAGCTGATCCGGCACCTGTAATAGTGGGCCCGGTTGTAACTCGTCAGCTGTTTCTTGAAGTAGTTCATTTCCTTCTCACGCCTTCCAACCGAGTGCCTCTGGGACGGGCCGCAGTTGAGCCCCTGCTGCCTCTCTTGGCAGAGGGAAGGGTTGGCCATTGTCTGCTCCGACCAGCAGCCCCGCCCCTGGGGGTGGATGCCGTTTTTAAGTCACCTGCCTGCAGTCTCCGAGTCTGTGCGCCCGCACGGAGGCGGCGGGTGCCCATCACTGTGTCCTGGGAGCGGGGCAGAGACCAGAGAACCAGACACTGGCGGGGCTGCTGACGCAGCTGAAACCGGGGGTGGTGGGAAGCTGAGGTGACAGATGAGCACTGCTCCCAGTGAGAGGAGGCCGCCGTGGGATGAGGCTTTGCAGACTGAGGGCGCAGGAGTCAGAGACGGGTCGGGGAGGGGCAGGTGCAGAGCCGCTCTGTCCTAACGCTTCCTAACACCCCAGTGGTGAGGACGGGTCGGTTTAGAATGTACTGGGGTCGGCTCTCCTAGGCTGACTTGATGGGCAGTACGATGATCAGAGGACATGCTGGAGGCGCAGGGCTCCTGAGCGGTGCAGTAGAGGGGCCGGGAACACCCACGTCAGTGCCGCAGGCCTGTTGACCTGCACGCGGTGGGCCCTACTCTCTCCCAGCCCTTGTGTGCGTGGGGTGTGGTGGATGTGTGTGGGGGGAGGCAGCACACACATCTGTGTGCCGTGGGCCTGCGGCGGCCTCTCTGAGCCCACTCACGCACTGCCAGGGAGGCCCCCAGCACAGAGAAGCTGCTCAGCCTTGCGGTGACCTTGGAGCACAGCTGAGTCACTGCCCCTGGATCAGCCGTTTTACTGAGGAAACAGACATCAGAGGTTCATGGCTGGCCAGTGTATCAGCCCTGAGGTCAACAAATAGCACCCACAGAACCGCCCCTGCACCCCTTTTAACACAGTAACCGTTTCCCTGGCTTCTAACACCATGGGTTTGTTTAATCTGTTTAAAATTGGAAACCAGTATGCGTATTTTGGATGATTTGTTTCTTTCGGTATTTTGTGAGAGTCCTCCAAGTCACGTGCGGCAATTCATTCATTCTCATTGTTGTATCATATTCCATTGCAATTAAATACTGCGATTTATGTGTGGACAGTGGGTTGTTTCCGGTGGGGGCTGTAATGGACAGAGCTGTTGTGGACGTCCTCATCCATGGCTGTGGCGAGAATGGTCAGGCGTTTCAGATGGGAGAGACTCCCCGAGCAGTGAGCAATCCACACTGCCTCCGGCCGTCCTGAAGCATTCGTTCAATCCTCATCCTTGTGAACCTTTGCTGTGTTTGAAATTCTTTCCAGGGGGGTGGGGTGGGATGGGAGAAATAGATAAAAAAAATGTACTTGAAAAGTAACTAAATAAAATTTAAAAAAAAAAAAGAAATTCTTTCCATTCTGGTGAGCCTTGAGCAGCACCTTTTGAAGTTCTAATTTGTATCTGTGACTCACGTACAACAGATTTCATAGGTTTTATCAGCTTGGGTCCCCTCTGTGGTGGCGTGCTGTCCACGTACAAGTGTCCTCTGGTTCCATTTCGGTGCAGCCCTGACCCTCTCCTCTGTTCACATCTGCTTAGGTCACCTAATAAAAATGCAGCCGGCAGAGAGGGACACACCTCTGCCGGAGGAGCAGGGGTCCCATGCTTCAGTGAGATCTCGAGGAGAAGAGAAAAGGGCAGTGACCATTTCCAGACTGCGGGAGGCCTTTTCTCTCCGTCACCCAGCAGAGAACCGGCCCCGGGGCCTGCCGTCTGCGGAAGCCAGACGGGTTTCTCCGAGACAGAAGACGAGTGTGTCCTCTCAGAGGCCTTTGGACTCCCTCTGCTCCCAGACGCCCAGCTCAGGTGCAGGCCGGCCCAGCCCTCCGGGAGCGGGGATGCATGCAGACGGGGACAGAGTGGAGGCGGAGAGGGACTCGGGGCACGGCAGTGCCTCAGTGGGCTCAGAGGAGGGGCTCAGCACCCCGGACATGGGCAGTCTCTCTGGCAGTGACCGGGCAGCCAGCTCCCCTGAAGACAGGTTTTCACAGGAAAACACAGAGTCGTGTGAGAAGTTGCCTGAAACTGAGCATCGTGTTCCGGACACGGAAGGCCGTGGAGACCAGGAAGATGGTGTACACCAGTTGAGAGTGTTGCCTCAGCCCGCTGATTTGTCAAACTCCAAGCGTTTTAAAAAAGAAGGAGTTCCTTTGAATTCTGACATCTGTCAAGAGTCGGTTAACACACAGAACATGTCAGTGTCTCAGGCTGATGTAGCTGTTAAAATTAACAAGAAAATAGTGCCCCTTGACTTTTCCATGAATTCTTTGGCTAAACGCATAAAGCAGTTACATCACCAAGAGCAGCAGAGAGGACGTGAACAGAGTTACAGGAAGTTTAGGGCGAAGATTTGTCCTGGAGAAAATCAAGCAGCAGAAGAGGAACTGAGGAAAGAGATAAGGTAAAGGTTTTCTTAGCCTTTTTGCTCATTTTGGTGAGCTGTTGGGAGTGAGCCAAAGGCTGACCCTTCCAGAGTCTGCTTTTGCTCCTTTGGGTGTCATTTGCTTTGTGACGGTGGCAGCTCTTCTGGGTCAGGGTGGGTGTGGCTGTGCCTTGCACCAGCATGTGGTCCTCCAGCTGCTGCTGCCTGTCCGGGTGGCCTCCCGTGGTCTTGCGTGCACTTGTATCTCAAACAGTCAGACCACATCAGTCGGTACCTTCTCGGCCCCAATTTCATTCTTCCTCTAGGTTTTCAGCCCACAGTGACTTCCCTGCAAGGAATTCATGGTGGACATTGTTATTTTCCATTTTAATGTATATTACAGAAGAGTAGAACACGTGTCAAACCTGTGATTTCAAGAAGATTACATAGGATAAGGCTTAGTAAAAGGAGTCAATTTAAAAAAATATTAATAATACAGATATAGAAAACAGTCCTTTTTTTGGTCAATAACCATGTATAACATCTGGACTTGTTAAAATGTTGAGTTCTGGAATTCTTAACATTTGTCTTTTAGTTTTCCTTGCCATTTACTGAAATGTGCTGTCCCATACACAGCTCGCTTGGTAATCACATTGAACTTCGCAGCACTTTTAGTCTGGACCACACAGGTTTTGCCTAATTTAGATGATAAATTCTTCAGCTATGAGTTTCCTATCATGTAAATTCCTTTGACATTCGTGATGCCTAGCTTGCATTGAGAGAGGTGTTCTGGAAATACTTCCTCTAAAAAGTGTGATTAGTGGAGAACTCACTTGGACGTGGTCTGGGGGGGCCTGTAAACTTGGATGCACTGGAGGGAGGCGGGTTCCTTCAGATGCGCGCACACACACTCACACCCATGGGTGTGCACAGCAGACTGTGCTTGACAGTGAGAGACATACATCGGGTGCCCCAGGTTTGACCTGCCTGGCCTTTACCTTTGGATACTTTGAGCCCTCAACGGGAAATTAACTGCGATTTCAAAACTGGAGGTTTGAATTCACTCAACAGATGTTCATTGATCTCCTATTACTGTGATTCTTGAATTTTTTTCTTCCGGAAAATAGTCTTTTTTTTTTTTACTTTTTAAAATTGTTGTTCAAGTACAGTTGTCAAGAAATAGTCTTTTTAAGATGTCTTAAAATTCACGTTTTCTCCCTGCAGTAAAACGATGTTTGGAGAGATGGAAGTCATCGGACAGTTCAACTTGGGCTTCATAATCACCAAGCTGGGCGCGGACATCTTCATCGTGGACCAGCACGCCACGGACGAGAAGTACAACTTCGAGATGCTGCAGCAGCACACCGTCCTGCAGGGCCAGAGGCTCCTCGTGTAGGTCCTCGGCGGCCCTTGGGACCCTCAGTGTCGTCTCACCTCCCGGGGCTGAGACCTGGTGGCTTGTGCCTGTGTCCACATATTGATGTATATATGTAGTTTCGCCATAAGCATCCCTACGGCAGGTTTTTATACTTTTTGCATAATAATAGTCATACCTGCCATGTACTGAGTGCTTATCATGTGCCAGGCACTGGTGAAGCGGTGCACATGGATGTATTTATCCCCACAGTTTGAGCCGCAAGCCTGGGTGTAGGTGGAGAAAGGAACAGCGCAGGCAGAGGAACAGTCGGGGCGAAACGCATGCTGTTCACCCTGTTGTCAGGTGCCTGCGATGACCTAACTCAGCCCTTCCAAACGTCTTTACTTTGAGGCAGGAAGAAGCAGCATTCCGAACTTTCTATTGCTGTTTTTAAGGAGAAGATTCAAAAGTAGATGGGGTCACTGGGATGAGATGGCAGATTAAGGAAAAGCAAACTGTTGCTACTTTAACTTCAGAAATGATCTCTTAAAAAGGAGAATTACAAGGAACTTCCTCAGGAAGTTTTGGGGCAGGACAGGCATGTGGCTCCGTAAAGGGGTATTATTAGCACTCCTTTTTGAAATGAATCCAAGGACTCGTGGTATTGTTTCATTTTCGTTTCTGTTTCCTAGCTGAGTGTTTGACTTTAAGATATGGTTCGAAACTCTCCTTTGCTTTTCAGACCCCAGACTCTCAACTTGACTGCTGTCAATGAGGCCATCCTATTAGAAAATCTGGAAATATTCAGAAAGAATGGCTTTGATTTCGTCATTGATGAAAGTGGTGAGTTATTACTGAGAGGGATAGAATGGGGTCCTTCTAGGGCTGGGCACAGTCTCTGAGGTCACGTAGGTCCATGTGTTTTATGCTGGGGGGGGGGGGGGGGTGACAGTGCTTATCTCGTCTTCCAAATGTTTGTTACCAGGAGGACTCAAAACAAAACACATTTTCCAAATAATGACTCTTTCTCCAAATTTTGTTCTTTTTAGCACCAGTCACTGAAAGGGCTAAATTGATTTCCTTGCCGACAAGTAAAAACTGGACCTTTGGGCCCCAGGACATAGATGAACTGATCTTCATGCTGAGCGACAGCCCGGGGGTCATGTGCCGGCCTTCCCGCGTCCGGCAGATGTTTGCCTCCAGGGCCTGTCGGAAGTCTGTAAGTAAACAGGGCTTGTCCTCCAGGACCCAGGGGCTCACCTTGTGGTCCCCTGAGGTCCCCAGTTAGGTGTGACTGCCATGGTTCGTCGGTAGAGGCTCATCACGCTCTGTCAGTGTGACAGACCAGTTCCACATGTCTGCATTACCTTTGACCTCTGGCCCACAATTACTGCTTTCTCTACTTCTGATGAGCGTGATCTCTCTCAGTTCCGCTGACCCCGGTGCAGTTACCTGTTTGTCTGCACTGTAACACCTTACAGGCGTCAACATCCCTGGGGGGTGGAGGCCTGCGGCTGCCTGGCTGGACGACCATGCAGGTCACACCAGGTCAGCAGGCGTTTCAGAGGTGCTCCGTGGAGCGTGGAGCGTGACCATATTTTGCCATGTATAACGTGCACCTAAGTTTTTGGCTCAAACTTTAAGGGAAAAAAATCTTTCGTTTTAATTGTTTAATTCAGTTATTTATTTATATATTTGTATTTAGAAACAAACCGATTATTATATTCCAGGGTACTATTTTGGATATGGATGTCATTGCTTTCTACAGTTACACTGTTAACGCAGAAGCATAAATAAAAGAATTGAAAGCATAGATACAGAATTAGTGCAACCCATGTATAATGTGCATTCTTATTTTTTCCTCAAAAATTCAGGCAAAAAGTACAGTGCACATTATACATGGTAAAATGCGGGTAATTCACTGCTCAGAGTGGTCCTGGAGAGTGGGACCGGTGGCCGACAGCCGGATGTCCCGGTAAAGGAAGTGAATCTCCATTGCCTGGCCACAGGGGAGGCCAGGACGCCATTCCTTCATTTATTCAACAGTTACTCCTCGAGCACCTGCCGGGTGGCCCTCCCTGTGCCAGGTGCTGGGGACACAGAGGGACAAGGGAGATGAGGTCCCTGCCCTTGTAGAGCTTTAATGGGGAGAAACAGAAAAACAAAATGACAATTTCGGGCACCAGTAAGTTCAGTAAAGAGATCAGAACAGTATTGGGATGGGGAGTGCGCGCAGGACGACGAGGAGAACAGTTGAGACGGCTGAGCGGGGAGAGGCTGCTGAGGAGGTGGCACCTGAGCTGGCGCCTGGAAGGTGAGATGGAGCCCCTTGGGTCAGAACCTTCCGGAAAGAAGAAATAGGCTCCACAGCTTCAAGTAAAGCCAGCGCTGATCTGAGGGGGGAGGGGACCAGGATGAAAGCAGTACAGTGTCCAGGACCCGCCTCGGGCCTTGCAGAACCTGGGCAGAAACCTGGGAGTTTGTGCTGCTGTTTTGGGGTGCGTCGGCCCTGGAGGATTGTCATGGCTGAGATCAGACTGAGGGGGTGCCTAGCGGAATGAGGGAGGTGGGGGAGGCGGCAGCTTTTTCACATTTGGGGGGTGGGTGGGAGTAAGAGTTCAGTTTTAGACACGCTATTTTGGGGATTCCATTAGCTGGCATGTGGAGGTGTCTCAAACAGTTGTATTAATGACTCTCAAGCTCAAGGGAAATGTCAAGTGTTGGAGATAAAATTTTAGGTGTGCTTTATAGCCCTGGGGACTAGATCTGCTCTAATTAAACCCAAGGGAAGAGTCTAATTAGAGCAGAGATAGGGCCCAGGGTCTGTCAGCCACAGAGAATTCTTTGGTGAAGACCAGCATTGATCTAATCCTGGAGTTTGTGGGTAGAGCTGGGGCTGGCCTGTGCTGACAGCCAGACGCGTTAACGCGTGTCTTCCCATGACCCAGAGCTTCAGAGCCACAGGCCGCTCCTTCACGCCGCACCCTGCAGGGCCACCCAGCTGCAGCTCTTGCCCTCCAGGCAGCACACCTGAGCCTGCCCACTGTCTGTTGGGGGCTGTCCACTGCCACCCCGAGGGCTCTAGTTCCAGCTGTCCTGCCCTCGCAGCCGCATCTGCTGTGCTTGTCTGCAAACCAGTCACACTGGTCTCCTCCCGCCTCATGCCCATTGTGCTTGGCTGTCCCTCTGCCTGGATTCCCTGCCCGTGTTCCTTCGTTACATCCCGGCTCTTGTCTCCTGGGCCCTGAGCACCCAACTAGAGTAGCCTCTTCTGGGCACTGGGGCATAGCACCCCAGGGGATACTTGTCTTGCTTTTGTTAACTTGTCTGTTGTCTGTCTTCCTCCAACATGGCAGAGCCATGCCCCATTGCCTCTAGGACTCTGCCAGGTTCAGGTGTGTCACCTGTCACCTCTCCCAGTTTCTCAGGGCCTCAGTTTCTCTGTGCTTGCTCTGGTGTCTGCTCATCTCCCTGTATCTGTCAGACAGGGATGCGTGCTATGGGGAGGAAGTGGGGCGAGGACTGCAGAGGGTTCAGCAGGGGAGCTGTACCACTGGAAGAGGCAGGGACTTGAGAGCAAATGCTGGAAGGGAGAGGAGAAGTGAGGCTCCGGTGGAGGGCACAGCCAGTACCAAGGTCCTGAGGCAGGTGCTTGCTTTATGCTTTTGCCAGAGGAGAGGGGTGCCCGTGTGGCTGGAGTGGGGGACAGGGAGGGTTGCGTGCTTGCAGGTGCAGTCATGAAGGCCAGTGAGGGCCAAAGTAGGTGATGCACTTGGGCTTCTATTCAGGTGAGGGCGAGGCCTGTGCAGAGTAGCTATGAGATCTCACGTACCTTTAAAGGTAATCACTGGCTGTTGAGTAGAACTAGGGGAAGAGGGGGAGCAAGGAGGCACTTAGGAGGCCCCTGCAGTTGCCAAGGTGGGGGCACCAAGACAGGTCATGCTGCTGTGCTCAAGATCCAGGTGTGGTCAGCATCTCAGGTGAAGGCGAAGGGGCCGAGGAGGGGCTGGATTTCATGGAAAAGTGGAGGCTGGGAAGTTAGAAGGTGGGCTTCTTTGGGGGAAGACTTTTCAGGGAATGTCATTTTTGAATTGTAATCTTGCCTAGCCTTGTTTTAGAGAAACATGGCTGAATAGTTGTTTTAACCAAAACCCAGTACAACTTTTAACCGTTGTGTCTCATATTCAGGTGATGATCGGAACTGCTCTTAACACAAGCGAGATGAAGAAACTCATCACCCACATGGGTGAGATGGACCATCCCTGGAACTGTCCCCACGGCAGGCCAACCATGAGACACATCGCTAATCTGGATGTCATTTCTCAAAACTGACACTTATTGTTGTGTAGACCTAGACGGTTTATTGCAGACGTCTCTGTGTTGAAAGGCAGAGTTTTAACCATTGAGCACCAGAGCCATTTAGAAATGATGGTGAAAACCTTTTGAACCGTGTGGAGCATGGCTGCAGTGTGTCATGTTCTGCGTTTGCACGTCTGTCTATCTGTCTGTCTGCGGATGTGTGTACATAGGCAAGCGCATGTTTTTTTAGGACAGGAAGAGCACTTTCAAAGTCTCTGCTCTGGCCCAACGTATTTTAGGCTGTAAATTTGAGCCCTTTGCGGTGATTAAATTTGTAATGGTTTAATTTCATAAATTTAAAATTATGGTCCTCTTGGGTTAGTGGTTCTCAACCCCGATGCACATGAAGAAGAAAAAAGAATAATCTGGAAAACCCAGCAGGGATTCTCTGTCCGGCTGGAAGAGAACGACCCACATGGGGCTGGATCATGATTTTTCAAAGTTCCCCGGTGTGACCAGGGCAGTTAAGGCGCTATTGTGGGCAGGGGGAAATAAAAGGTCCGGATTTGTCTGTCATTTAACACTGTGGTGTGGTTTCCTTGGGGTGTGAACTGCAAGATAGTCTAGTTTCTGGCTGTCAGTGGTACTGGAGGTAGAAGAATCCCTGTATTTTATCGAATAGTTTTTCATGGAATCTCGTTCCGTGTGAACTCTGCCAAAGATGCTGTCTGCGGAATTCAAGCCGTGGTTGCTGTGCAGTGGCGAGTGTGGGCACCCTCCTGCTCTCTCCCTCCCTGACCAGGCTGCGGGCCTCCTTCCATTGGCAAACTTAGAATTTCTTATCTGGGACAAGACAGTCAAGTGATCATTGCTAACATGTGTTGTGTCAGGTACTGTACTGGTGTGCCTGTCTGCAGGGTCTCTTAATTTCTTCAAGAACTCTGCAAATTGAGGTTTCTGGCCTCAAAGATGGCTCTGTGGTAAACCCACAAACGTTGACTATGAGGCTGTCCAGGTGTGGTTAAGGAATGGGCTGAGAAGCGGGGGATACCCGGGCTCTGCTGGGTGGGCCCTGTCTGCCCCATAACTTTGGGGACCCTCTCCCAGCTGGGCCGGAGAGAGGCCACGAGCTGGTTTGGAAGATGAAGGAAGGCAGCCTCTAGAAGCAGGAAAAGGCAAGAAAGCAGATTCTTCCCTGGAGCCTTCAGAAGGGACTGGTCCTGCTGGATTCCTAACTTAACTAAGATGATAGATTTGTGTTGCTTTAAGCCACTAAGCAAGTTTGGGTAATTTGTTTACAGTGCAAAGGAAAACTAACACGTGAGTTAATTATTCCTGTGTTATGGTGAAGATGAAGGGCAAGAGGTCACATGTGGCAGGTGGCACCGCTGGGAAAACCCAGGTCAAGTGCATCCAGCTTTATATTTCCACCTGGTGGCCTAGGGCTGTAGGGCAGAAAACACTAATGCTCAGAGGCTTCTGGGACTGCGTGGCCCCTTTAAGGGTGGGATGGGAAGGGGCGGGGCCACGGTTGCCTGGAGACCAGCTGGACGCGCTGGCTGTGCATCACTTTGGTTGGGCCTGGCTTCAGAAGTCAGGTAACCACTGGGGCTGGATCCCAGTTCCCAGGCCCTGTGATCCTGCATACACCCCACCACCAAACATACAGGCCTCTGAAGATTTGAGCTGGTGCATGGTGGGTGAGGAGGGCGGGGCAGCAAGTGAGGGAATAGCGCCCCCAACCTCTGCTCAGAACTCAGGAAAGAATAAACAGGAGAGCACGGTGTCCAGCCAGGTAAAACAAACACTAATGGGAAGCCGGACAATGTAAAAGCAAAGCCTAGAGGTGGGGTGAAGCTGGCTGCCCTGGGGTGTGGGGGGTGGGGAGGTTTGGTCATGCCCTCTGGGCACTGAAGAGGGAAGTTGCCTGGCCCTGGAAAACTAGCCTATACGCCTGCTCTGTGGCCTGGAGGCTCCCAGAGGGGGGCGTTGTAGAGGGGACCCTTGGCCTCGGACCCCCTCCGCACCTGGACACCCTCTTTCATGGCTGACATCGGAGGCACCCAGTCCATGGTGGCGCTGGCTCGGGGCAGGTAGCTGATGATTTCAAGTTCCAAAAAACAGGAAAGTGACATAAAATAATCACTCCTGTGTGTGTCTTGTCCCGTACTTTAGACATGTTTTTTGCATCAACTTATTTAATCTTTATAAAGAAACAAGGTGCTATTATCCCTACTTGATATATGAAGCAGAAGAACACAAAGTAAAACTTGCCCGAGAACACGCAGCCAGTCAGTGGACTGGGCTGCCGGAGCCCAGCCTGCGTACTTTGCCACACTGACGTATGAGGGCTTTTAGAGTCTGGACTGTGCGTGCAAGACCTTGACGTTCAGGCAGCCACTTTTCATAAACAGGGTTACCCTTCTTACTGGGGTACTATTTGAAAACATGGTAGACGGTGTTTCCAGCTTTTAAAATTATAGGAACAACCAATGTAACATCGAAACTATTATTTTTGTGAACTGGTGATACCTGTTTAAATAATGATCAGTTTTTATAAATTGATCATTTGTAATTTTCCAGGCTTTAGAAGAATGATAATGACATTGGGTTGTAAAGCTAAAGTTTTAACTTCTAGGGGAACCCTTAAGTATTTAGAGACATAATTTTTATTTTTCAGCTAAAGCTCATCAATGCTTTGAAACAAACAGCTCTCAACCAAAGAAATCGTTTGATACTTAAATACAGAAAGTAAACTTCGGATCTTCTAAAGGGAATGGCGAAAGAAAAGAAAAAAGCAGACAAAAAAGCGGACAAGTCTGCCCGCTCTCCCTCATCTCTCTCTGATAATCCAGAGATTTCCAAACAAGATGACAATTCCGCTAGACAAGAAAGGTCCCCAAGTCCTGTCCCACAGTCAGAAGTGCAGTTCCACGAACTGGGATCCAAAAGGGAATCCAGAAACCAGCAGCAGCAGGATGAAGATGCCACTCTATACGAGGTGCCCGTTCTCAGCGATCTCATTGTTGAAAGGTGATCCTACTGGGTGCTTCCTTTTCTACCACTTTTATGCTCTCCGTTCTGTCTCAGGAACCTCTGCAGTTTCACCTCCCACCCCCCTGGGTGACGGGGAGAATCCATGTTGTCAGCACTGGCCCTTCTAGACTTTCAGGTTCACAGGTTTAACTCCCTACTGTATGTCCTCCACGGGGCTTCCCACTGCCCCAAAACAGACCACAGGACTTGAAATAAGACGAGCTGGATCTGAGTCAGCTCTGTGCATGTGTCCTCCCATCACTGAACCTTTCTGAGCCTGAAGATCTTCACTGGGGAAAAGAAGAGAAAATACACACCTTCAGGTTCCTCCCCACGAGGTCATTTCTCTCCCAGACACTGGCTTCTCCGTGGGGCCCTGTGCCGGTCAGGGCACCACTGTTTCCTTGTAGATCCAGCCTGGAGATCGGAGAACCGTCCTTCTCCTTCCTGTGCCTTTCATTTCTTTTTCCTCTGTGCTTCTCTCATTAGTCCCTTTCTCTGTGTGTAGACTCGTTACCTCTTGACTGGGCAATTGGACTCGCTCCCTAAGACTTCCCTGCTTCTAGTCTCTCTTCTCAGGCCTCCTGAACAGAGGTACCTTCCTATTTACATCACTCCTTTTACTAGTTGTCTATCTTTATAACAAATCACCCCAACACATGGCAATCAGCAACTGTCGTTTCACACAGTTTATGGGGATCAGGAGTCTGGCAGCAGCTTAGCTGTATGGGGTTGGGTGACGGTTTCACAGGGTTCCATCAGGATGCACGTTCCATCAAGGGTCACCGATTCCATTTCCAGTCTAGGGCACATGCCTGGGTTGCAAGCTAGGTCACCAGTAGGGGGCATGCCAGAGGCAACCACACATTGATGTTTCTCTCACTCTCTTTCTCCTTACCTTCAGCTTTGTCTAAAAATAAATATTTTTTAAAAAGATACATTGAATGGTAACAGCAGCCATTTATTAATGAGCTACTGTGTGCCAGCTGTTGGGTTCAGCACTATAGAATATTAAAAAGGATGAGACATAGTCTACAGTGCCAGGGGTGTCCAACCTGCAGCCCAGGATGGCTATGGATGCAGCCCAACCCAAAATCGTAAATATACATGAAAGCTTTTTTTTTTGCTCATCACTTTTCATTAGTGTTTATATGTTTCATGTGTGGCCCAAGACAACTCCTCTTCTTCCAGCGTGGCCCAGAGACACCAAAAGCTTGGACTCTCCTGGCACAGCATGCCCACCACCCCCACCCAGCCTTTGCCCCTCTCATCCTCCTCCTGACCTCCCTCTCTCACTCCAGCTGTGCTGCTCTCCTCACTGTTTTTTCCTGAACTTGAGATCTCAGGCTCTTTCCTGCCTCAGGCCCTTTGCCCTTGCTGTCCTCTCTTCCTGGATCTCTCTTCCCAGAATTCTTCTCACAGGTGTTCGTTCCAGGTTCTCCAGCTCTCAGTACAGCGCTCGTGTTCTCAAAGAGGCCTCCGCCCTGCCCGCCTGTAAAGGACAGCCTCCTCCCCTGGTCACTTCTTTCACAAAAAATTGAACACCGTCTGGAGTTAATCTCACTTGTTTCACATATATTGTCTGGCTCTCCTCAGTGAACTGAAAGCTGCAGAGGCAGGAACTTTCTGGTCTTGGTCACAGTTCACAACTTCCACCCCAGGGCTGAGAAGGGGACAGGTGACTGGTGGCTCTCAGGGAGTGTTTGTTGAGTGAATGAATGTGAGGGGTGCTCGTTCATTCGTGTTAATTATGTATCTTAACCCAACTGAAACAGGTTTACACCAGTCATGACCTTGAGTTTTATTTCTCTGTAGCTATGAAGGGGGAAAAGTCCAAGGACTGCGTGACGGAGAACGCTTTGCAGTCTTCCAGGGAGGTGGTGCCTACCGAGTGAGTCACACAGTTGGGGAGAGGGCGGGGAGGGAGGTGTGGGGTGACAGATTTGCGTCTTCAGACACATCCATCCATTCTTGAAAAGAACTTGGAAGCACGTAATGCCGGCTTTATTTTGAACCCTGATTACATGTTTTAAGGTAAAAACAGGGCTTAGTGCAACTGAAGTAGTCATTGTAGATTTTTTTTCCCCGATTTTTGTTTGTCGTACAAACAGCCTTCAGGTCACTACAGTGAAGAGTAAAACCCTGGTATCGGCATCCTTTTGCCGTAAATGGTGTTAATTTGCTGTGCTCCTTACATTTCTCAAATGGCTGTATCAGTATTTTTACCTGGGCATATGCATGTTGTAGATAACATCTTGGATTTTTTTTAAAGATTTTATTTATTTATATTTAGAGAGAACAGAAGGGAGGGAGAGAGGGAGAGAAACATCAGTGTGTGGTTGCCTCTCATGTGCCCCCTACTGCGAACTGGCCTGCAGCCCAGGCACGTGCCTTGACTGGGAATCAAACTGGCGACCCTTTGGTTTGCAGACCGGCACTCAATCCACTGAGCCACACCAGCCAGGGCCATTTTGGATCTTCTTTGACTTATGAATCTTTTGTATTGTTACATGGTTTTGCAACTTGTTTTTACTGTGGTAAATATATATGACATAAAATTTATTATTTCAAATATTCGTAAGTGTCCAAGTTCAGTGTCATTAAGTACATTTGCCAGGTTGTACCATGGCTCGTACCTTCACTTCTAAACTACTCCAGAACTTTTTCATCATATCAAAAAAACTTTGCACCTATTAAACATTAGACCCCCTTTCTCTCCTCCATAATGATTATTTTTAACATTGCACAGTGTTCTAATGTACTGTTCACAGCCATGCCATAGTTGGGGTGCTTCTGGGGTGTTTTCATTTTTTGCACTCATTAATAACGCCACAATGAAGGTCTTCATTCATTCAGACTGTCAGAAAAACACACGATTATTATAGGAGCACACGTTTTTGTGGTTGAGGCCGTAGGCACGAGTTTTAGCACACCAGTGTTCCCCCTTCACGTACATGCGAAGTTTTTCATAAAGACTCAGAAATGCAGGTCCAGGTGGAATCCAGCTCCTGTTTAACAATGGCACAGGCCCGCCTGGTGTAAGGTGCGGGCAGCCGGGTTTCTTCGGACTCCTCCACAGATCCTTTTTGGAACAGGGTGGGTGCCAGAGTGGCCCCCGCCCAAAGGCAAGCTCTGCCTGTGGAGACGAGTGTGCTGGTGTGGATGCAGGTCCGTGAAGGCCTGACGCCGTCCGTGGCAGCTGTCATGTGAAGTCTGTGGTCGGTCCCAAGGGTTTGTCATTGTTCTGTTTTGAAGGGTATGTCTCCAGAAGGACTCCTGCCTGGATCAGGGACTCACGTTTGGGCTGATGAACTGAATGTGAAATGAAGCACATAGTACATTGTAGTTCTAAACTGTGGTTGTGAGAGTTAATGGTCAGGTTCCCACAATTAAACATACTGCTGTCATGAAAGTAGTTCAGCACATGGATGAAAGAAATCCATAGAACCGAAGGCTACAGGTGGAAAGTAAGTCGTTATGGCCCAGGATGCTCAGGTGCTGTTGGCAGCGTCATTTGTACATTCTAGAAGGTTCTGTGTGTACTGTACATGTACTGGGGTCTCTCCTCTTTACAGTTTATTACTTTCTCATACCTTCGTTTTGCAGAGATCAAACTATAGCGCTCCATTCCACTCTGTGGGTTTCACTAACCCGTCTTGCAATATGTGTTTTTAAGTCAACTGCTAGAACTACATTGCTCTCCAAGAGAGGGTACAGATTTCAACTCCCACTCACAGCCTCCCTCGGGGTGGGTTCCAAAAATCCAAAGTTCCCAAGGCCAGGATGTCACCTGCTTGCTGTTTGGGGCCCAGTCTGCATACAGCCTTCCAGAGGCATTTTTGCACCTGGGCTTCTGCCTCATGGAGGGGCCAGGTGAGGGAGGACAGGGGAACCTGGGGGGATAGTCCAGGGTCTCCATAGAAGGAGAGGCAGGTGTAGTATTGGCAGTCAAGGACATGTCTCAAAACATCTCACGGGCTGGGCGATGTCTCCACTGCCTTCTTTCCGTCACTCTTCCGGCCATTTTTCCCCAGGGGTACTTTGGGAAGAGCATCTCCATGAACCTCAGCATGCATACGTGGCCGGACGGCAGCACCTACAAAGGGGAAGTGGTCAACGGCAAGAGGAACGGATTTGGTGTGTTCAAGTGCATCACACAGCCCGTGTCCTACATCGGCCAGTGGTGCCAGGGCAAGAGACACGGGATGGTGGGTGAGGCCGCCCCGGGACGGCCCTCTGCACATAGAACGTCCAAACTCGGAGGGCGGGGGAGCGGGGGCTGTGAAGGTGCATCCACTTGGGTTTGTTGAGGTGAACTTCCTGGGACGTGGAATGAACCATCGTAGAGTAAGCAGTTCAGTGGCCCGTAGTGTCAGTACATTCTCAGTGTTGGGCAAACACAACTTGTCCCCGCAGATTTCATCAGTCCAAAGTAAACCCCATACCCATTAGGTTGTCAACCCCCTCACCCTGCAGGGCCAACAGTTTGCTTCCTGTGTCTGTGGCTCTGTGTATTCTAGACATTTCCTGTGAAATGGAATCATGCAGTACGTGACCTGTGTTGTGTCTGGCTTCCTTCTCTGAGCACCATGTTTTCGAGGTTCATCAAACCTCAAAATGTGTTGTAGGTGCTTCCTTTTTATGGCCAAATAATATTTCGCTGTATGGATAGACCACATTTTGTTTGTCCATTCACCCCATTTGGGCTGTTCCCATCTTTCGGCCACTGGGAACAGTGTCACAGTGCATGTGGGCGAGGATTGAGTCGACCACCTGTTTGCTGACCTTCTGGGTGTGTTCAGGAGTGGAATCTCTGGGTCACATGGTAACCCGATGTGTACAGTTTGGAGAACCACCAGCCAGTTTTCCACGGTGGCCCCACCACTGACATTGTCACCAGCGGTGTTGGTCCCGTTCACTCATAAGCAAGGTGGTTGTTTCTGGAGCTGTTGTCTGTTTTGCTGTGCAACGGTAAAATGCCAGTGTATTTAGAAAAGGAAAGGCCTGCCGTTACAGTCATCACTTTCCTCAGATTTAGACCGTTTGGTTACCGTCTTGTTTGCTTTGTTTGGTTTTAGCTCATTGCAGATCAGTTCAGGCTTGGGGTGGGAGTGCCCCCCACAGGCACCCAGATTCTGTAAACAGGAACACGTTAGCTGGGTAATGAGGAAGGAGATAGGAAAACGTCTCTCCCTCTCTCTCTCTCTCTCACACACACACACACACACTAGTGAATAAACCAGCAACTTGAGGCCATTCAGCATAGATCCAAAAGCCTTGCGCAGTGGCCAGTCCCTTGGAGGAGTCACCACAGAGTGGTGATGCTGTGGTCACTTGTATTTGGAGGCAGTAAAGTAAGTAGGATTCCCAATGGATAAAAGAAAAAGGGTTTCGGTACCTATGAGAGTGACCTTCAGTTATATGGAAGGTGCTACTCTTCACTTTAGGTGACAACAAACCAGGGTTTCTTTAGGTACTTATTGGACTGCTAGTTACGAATGTAATGGATGTTCTGAAGGTAATGAGTGTGGTCGTCAACCCACGCCCTCATGTGGCGCTGGGTTATTAAGGAATAATTAATTTGCGACATTATTCCATTCTCCCTCAGCAGATAATTCACCGTATTCTTGACTGCAAAACAGAAACGTAAACAGATCACACATCTTGCCTGAGTGTGACATTTGACTTCTGCATGATTTAGGCCCTTAAAGTCATATAGTTTATTTCCTACCTTTACCTATAAGATAGGGTTTGTTATATGAGGCTTGATTATTTTTTACTTGATATTATTTATTCTAGGGCTGCATTTATTACGATCGAGAGGGTATCTCTTCCTACGAGGGGACCTGGGATCACAACGTCAGAAAGGGCTGGGGGATAAGACGGTGGGTGTCCCTGCTGCTCGTCCGGGTCAAGGGTCAAGGGTGCGAGGAGGCCCTGGTGGTGCTCAGTCCAGCTGTTTGAAGGGAGAAAGCACAGAGGACGTATTTCCTACGTAAACAGGTGGAATCTTCAAATTCACCCCAGTATCACTTTCATGGTGATGCAAATATTAGAGAGTTTAGCAAGCACCAGATTAAATGAGGTCTCATCACACCGTCTTACTCTGTGCAGAAACCACCTTTCTTCATTCTCCGCGTTTGTCATGGACTCGATGATGAGCTTTACCTTTTCCTAAGGGCACGGACACAGTTGCTTGATTTTTAGAGCTGATGGTGTCAAAACGTTTGGAGGGCAAACTACACCAATTATAATACCACAGGAAATTATTTGTAAAGACTTGAAGTCCTTGCTCTTATCCACTTTGTCACCTTATTAAATGATCAGAAAGTTTAGTAAAATGATTTATTTCATCTCCTAAGAGGATTGTTGTTACTAACCACACGCCCATCCATTGTCTTTAACTACAGGGAAGATTATATGGGCAAGAGGCTTGGATCTCTTCATGAGAGTTCAGGGAGAACGTTTCAGAGAGAGTGGTAGCGGTATATAAGTGCATATGAGATAACTGATTGTTTTGAAAAACAACTTCTTTTTGGTCCTAGTTACAAATCTGGAAATGTATACGAAGGTCAGTGGGATAACAACGTGCGGCACGGAGAAGGCAGAATGAGGTGGCTGACGACTAACGAGGAGTACAGCGGTCAATGGGACAGGGGCACCCAGGTACCCACAGAACACCTGCAGCGGTGGACGCTCTGCGGACCCGCAGCGCACGTGGGAGTTGGTGTGGTGGCGTCTGGTAATCCGACACTCCAGTGCTGATAAGTTTGGACACTCAAGCCAGGCCCCTTACGTGCACTGCCCTTGACCTATACACCCAGCCTGCACAGCGGTAGGTGTCTGTGTTCTGCGGGGGAAGGACAGAGGGCTTCAGCAACTTGCCCTGGGTCGGGCCTGGCCGGCACAGAGCGGAGCTGGGACTGAACCCCGCGCTGCCTGCCCCCGAAGTCCGTGTTCTTGGCCCCCCTCACAGGAGTCACTGTGGTTCCTCCATACGGGTCAGTAGACTCAAGTGAGAAGAGGAAGTATTTTGAACATTTCTCATGGAAACGTCCTTTCTTTCCAGAATGGTTTGGGAACGCACACGTGGTTTCTGAAGAGAGTCCCCAACTCCCAGTATTCTCTGAGGAACAAATACAGAGGAAACTTTGTGAACGGGTATCGTCATGGCTATGGAATATTTTACTACGCCAGTGGAGCCACATATGAGGGAGAATGGGTTTTCAATAAGAAACAGGGCATGGTGAGTACAGGCCTGGGAAGATTCCATTTTAAAGATTACGTAAAGCACTTGAGATGCAGTAAGAGGCATGTCATTCTCTGTCTAGTAAAGTGCATTATCTATTTTGCATAGGATAGCTTACTGTTTTGTTAAGACAAACATGAATTTTAAAATGATTACCACCAAATTATTAATTTCATGTAGATTTAGAGATTATTTCGTGAGCTTGTGTTATATGTGTGGGGGGGTGTGTTAGGATGGTTTTGGTTCTAAGTGATAGAAAATCTAGCCTAATCTTCTATAAATCATAAAAAATAATGTGGGCTTCTGTGTTGGTTTGATTGAGCAGCTCAGTGAAGCCAGGGTTTCTCCTCCGTCTATCCATGGTGTCTCCACCATGTCAGCCCCACCCTTACGCTGCCCCCGCTTCATGATTGCAGGATGGCTGCTGTGGCTCCTGACTTCACATCCACATTCCACACTAAGTAGAAGAGCAGAAACTCCTTTTTTCTTAAAGATTTAATTTAATTTCTTTACTTTCAGAGAGAGGGGAAGAGAGGGAGAGAGACATCAGTGTGTGGTTGCCTCTAGCACACCTTCTTCTGGGGACCCAGCCTGCAACCCAGGCATGTGCCCTGACTGGGAATTGAACCAGGGGCACCTCCCCCACCCCCAATTTGCAGGTGGGCACTCAGTCCACTGAGCCACACCAGCCAGGGCAGAAACTTCTTTTCAATAAGCTTTCCACAAATGTCTTGAGTTTCACTGAGTTGAACTGGGTCATTTGCCCACCTCTGGGTCAGACTGCCCATTGGCCTGGGCTCAACAAATATCAAGACTGTTCTGTGACAGGCACTCTGGTGGTCATTAGCATAGTTTATTAAGACACATTCTGTGACTGAGGGGTGCTTAAAGTAGGGCAGAGGTCGTGAGGCAGGTACAGCAAGAAGAGAGGAAGGGGGAGAAGGAAGAATTGGGAGGAGGTGGAGGGTTTATGCAGCGACGTGAGAGTCTAGGAACTGGATGACCTGTGGACTGAGCACATGTCCTAAACAAAATACTACAAACTCTTGAGAAAGATTTCGATGTATATTTACCGATGGTTTTCTATGAAAAATTTTCCTATAGTACAAGTTACCTGTCTATCTGCAGGGCCGATTAACTTTCAAGAATGGGTGCGTGTATACTGGCCTGTTTTGCAATGACCACATAGCGAAGTTTCCAGACCTTGGAAATGAACTGATAGATGACCCAGAGCTGTGTGCAGACTCTGCCCTCGGGAGCCAGTTCCGAGGACCTTCCAGTGCTGGTAGGGAGTGGGCACCTGCCACCTGAAAGTTAATCAGTCTCCGTTTTCCATGGTGTCCACCCATCAAAACACACCTAATGTGTCAGAAGTTTCCCATGAGCAGCTGCTTCCTTAGTAGGCAGTTTGGCATACTCTTGTATCACACTTCTGTGGAAGATTGTTTTGGTATAACATTGAAAAATTTTAGCATTGCTCTTCATAGTGATGCCCTGTCTTTGCCTTCACTTGCTAGAAATTATCAGGAAGCTTGATGGCAGTGAAAGCAACCCAGTGTTGGGCTCAAGCATTGAGCTGGACCTGCGTTTGTTGCTAAGTTTGTACCCTGAGAAAGACCAACCAGAGGAACGGAAGCAGGTAAAAGCCTTCTGTACTGTTACAAATTTGTATTTTAGGCATGAATACTTTTTATAAATAATATATTTTTTCATGACAGATGCCATACAATATCATGTTAGTTTCAGGTGTATAGTCCAGTGATTAGATATTTACGTAGCTTATGAAGTGATCACCTGATGGATCCAGTGCCCACCTGGCACCATAGTTATTACAATATTATCGACAGTATTCCCTGTGCTACACTTTACTCCTTGTGACTATTCTCTAACTTCCGGTTTGTACTTGTCAATCCCTTCCCCTCTTCACCTCTTCCCTTAATGCACCCTGCAACGTGGCAAGCATTAAAATGTTTTCTGTATCTGGGAGTCTGTTTCTGTTCTGTTCATTTTTTTAGATTCCACATATTAAGTGAAATCATATGGTACTTGACTTTCTCTGACTGATTTCACTCAGCACAATACCTTCTAGGTCCCTCCATGCTGTTGCCGATGGCAAGGTTTCATTCTTTTTTATGGCTGAGTTTATTCTACTGTATATATGCACCACGTGCTCTCTATCTGTTTAATTTAGAAAACAGGTGTTCCTTTTGCTTTTGTTCTTACTGGGTAAGATAAGATACGCCCGGCTCTCTCTTTTCAGGTAGAGTATGCTGTCTTAAGAAATATTACAGAATTGAGAAGAATCTATAGCTTCTACAGCAGCCTGGGGTGTGACCGCTCCCCAGATAACGCCTTCCTGATGACAAAGCTTCACTTCTGGAGGTTTCTGAAGGATTGTAAATTCCATCACCATAAAATAACTCTTGCTGATATGGACAGGGTATTGAGTGGTGAGTATTCCAGGTCCTTCACACCTGTTGGTTCAGAGAGAAATGTGCCATGATGTCGCCATGAAACCCGTCAGGAAATGTTGAGGGAGTGAAGGGAAAGGCTAGGAGAGGTCTTGTAGGAATCAACACAGGGGCTGCTTCTGAAGGTGCTGAGGACGCATTTGAAGAGGCAACCTCGTGACATAATAGCAACGCCAAGACCATCTACAGCAGGGGTCAGCAAAGCAGGGGCCCCTGGCCTATTCTTGTAAATAAAGTTTTATTGGAACATGGCATGTCCATTTGTGTACGTCTTTCTGTGGCTGATTCTGGTAGACGCCAGAGCTGAGTGGTTGTGACAGAGACCGGCCCACACAGCTTGAAGTATGTGTTTACTGTCTGGTCCTGATCTGTGGTGGAATCACGCTCAGTTGTCACGTCATAAGCAGAGAGGGTTGGGGGGCTGGGAACAGCCTAGAAAAGCTTTAGATGGGCTTGGGCGTGGGCTTGATTCCTACTTAGAAAGTTCATGCAATAAATTTAACAACTTTGAAGGTTTTACTCCTTTCAGCTGAATTCTGGGAAGCAGGACTGAAAGCCTCAAGTTATCTACTTGACAAATAAAATATTAGAACAAACACCTATTTACTTCAAATTTAAGTGTTTGAAGTAGACCTAGCATTTATTTAGAATCAGCACTAATCAAATTGTGGGTCAGAGGCTTTGGAAAGTGTTGAGATGTGGGATCCTTAAAGTTTCTCAGAGAGTAACCACACGATCTTCCGAGGGGGACTCAGTTTTTAAGTGGATACGGATGTACAATTCAGAGTCCTCTCTAGGAGGAAAAGCACTCAGTTCCTGGAATTACGTACTAGTGTGCAGATCTTTGGGTGGTGCGCCAGGAGCAAGTCAAATAGAAGGTGCTAGAAAATACGAGGCATCCTTTCCACTTTTCTCTTTTTAGCCAATAATGACATACCAGTTGAAGAAGTTCATTCTCCATTTACAAAAATCCTTTTGAGGACATTTCTGAGTTACCTCGTGCAGCTGGCTCACCACATTCATCACAAAGAATACCAGTAAGTACCACTTCTGGACCCTGTCAGTGGGTGCGGGAAGCACCAGCTGTCGCTGTAGCTACATCTGTCGTTGACATTCATTATGATTTTTACACACTCTAGAACTGACGGACTAGGAACAAAAATACTCACCACAAAACCGTGAAGATCCCAGCTTACAAACGGGAAACCTGCGGTGTCCCAGCTGTGAGGGGCTCTCAGGGTTTCATTCCGAAATAGTCACAGCCAGCTGTTCCTTCGGCCAGAATTTCCTGTCTCTCTCAGCAAAATTGACACCTTTCACCACTTCCCTGAATAACACCTTACAGAACCGAGGCGCGCTCATCAAAACAAAGGAACAAATGCAGCTGCCATGCCTTTAAGTAAATTGCAGCTTTTGTTACTATGTCCCCAGTTTTCCCACCACTGTCCCTTTTCTGTCCCAGTGTCTAATCCAGGATCCTACATGGCACCACGTTGTCATATCATATTCCCCTGCAAATAGTTTCTCAGACTTTGTTTTTTACAACCTTGGCACTTTTGAAGAACATCGGTCAGTTATCCCATAAAAGGTCCCTCGATTTTGGTCTGTTAATGCTTTCTCGTCGTGACACTGAGCTTATGGGTTTGGGGAAGGGTACCGAGGAGGGGAGTTGCCCTTTCCTCCCATCCTGTCAGGCTGTGTGATGCCAACTCATATCGTTACTGGTGACATTCACCTTGACCCGGTTGCAGTGGTGTCAGAGGGGCTGTCTCCTGTCCACCTTCTACAGTGTTTTTCCCTTCTGTGCTCTTCTTGTTAGAGGCCAGTTACCGAGCCCACACCAGTCCCACCCCCACTCTAGGAGGGGAGTTCCAGCCTCCCTGCTGGAGGGAAGACTGATAATAGTATTTTTTTTTAAGATTGTATTTATCTTTAGAGGGGAAGGGAAGGAGAGAGGGAGAGAAATATGAATGTGTGGTTGCCTCTCACGCATTCCCTGCTGGGAACTGGCCTGCAACCCAGGCATGTGCCCTGACCGTGAATCGAACTGCGATCCTTTGGTTTGCAAACCCACACTCAATCCACTGAGCTACGCCAGCCAGGGTGATAATCGTTATCTTTTTAATTACAGAAATCGCAGCCCCTCACTGGTTTTGTGCTTTACAAAACTGATGACTGAGAACATTCACCCCAATGCCTGCCATGTGAACGGTGAGGACAAAAACCAATAGGATTCCCTTTAGCGCTGTTCTTCTCAAAATACAACATTGTGATCATGTTTCGAATGTCTGTCTTCTGTGGCACGGTTAGGCCTGCTATTCAGTGAGCAGCAGCAGACTCTCTACGCGATGAATTACGTCGACCTGACCTGGGAGGTGTACAAGGCGTACTGCCGGCCGCACACGGCGCCGCCCCACGAGCTCACCATGAAGGTGAGGCACTTCCTCTGGATGCTCCAGGTGAGCCCTCTGATCGACCCCGGCCTACCACTCACAGGCATTCGGGTTTTCACGGAGGGTAAGAGAGGCTCATTAAGACACGCGGAGGGAGGTGAGGATGCGGGCTGCGTTCCCAGAGCCACTGCCTGTTTCCTGGGCCTCCGTGGGCCGAAGGGAGCGACTCCGCCGGCTGCCCACCTGGGGGTCGGTGCGGCGGGCTGACGGCTTCACCGAGCAGACCTTGCCTTTGAAGGAAGGGGCGGAGGATGAATGCTGTTGTAAGACATCACCCTTCCTCAGAAAAAGAACTTTAAACAGCTCCAGTTTGGAAAATGGTGAAAACAGCTAATTCATACAGTATTCTCATCCTAAGTAGTGGTGGTTTTCCTTTCCTGTTACTTTTGATTTGTACTTGTGGGAAGATAATTGCTAAGACTGAAAGAATGGAATGCTAACGGGGTGGAGGGCTTCAGGAAATTTAAGTGTTGTGTATGTGAGAAGCTTCTGTTTTTTTCCCGGCCGGTTTTGTTCTCTGGCTGTTGTAAGGCTTTGCCTGTAGCGTGCGCTGAACTCTGGCTGTCTGTCCACTCGTACTTGGGAGTGTGGTGTGTTGGAAGCCCTTCGTGGGTGAATGGCACTTGTCAAAGACTAGATCACATCTGTAGGGTGACTGGGCCAGGAGACTGTCCCGCTGCTCCCCTTCTCTGAACCAACTCTCAGAATTGATCTCTTTTCTCAGATGTTCCATTTTGCGAAGGAGAATTTCTCCTGGCCCCTGGGAGACCGAAGCCTGGTTTTCAGTTCTTAGAAGGTGTGGGGGGAGGTCAGTGTGGAGGGAGGAGTTTCCCGGGAGGCTCTGTTGCCCGACCCCTGTTTCGGCAGCACTGGGAAGGTAGGGGGACCAAGTGTCTTCCAGGCCGGGTGCCCTCTGGTTCGGGGTCTCAGAGCACGCCTTCGGTCTCCGGCTAGACTTGCAGGGGGTCTTCTGGACTAGCCCCACCCACAGCATGACTTCCGGAGTGCCTCCCCTTCCTGTGTTCCGGCATTGGGCCCTGGCTTGCCTCCCGCCTCCCTGGGCTCTGCGGAGTCCGTGGGCCAGCCCCGTCCCACTCAGAGTCGGAGTGACCTCTCACGTCTGGGTCGTCTGCTTTCCCATTCTCCCGTCCTGGGATTAGACCTCTGAAAAAACCTTTACCGGTGTTTCTGAAGGGTTTGTTTTGGGGAGGAGAGGCAACTTGCCATGTTAATGCAGAATGCTTTACAAAATCATCACTTTTCAAGATAGTCATTTCTGGTACATTTTCTTAGAGTGTGGTATCGATATAAGTGGACACTAAAAATAGCTGTTTGTAATGAGAGGCCATTACGGTTTGACTGGCTGTTTCTTTTACAGAACTTTAAAATATTAAGTAAAGAATTAACGGCAACCAAATTTGTGGAGGTCATCGCAGAGGACAATCCTTTCATGTGTGACGGAATTGACAGCAACTTTGAACTCGAGGTCTGTGAAGAGCTGACACGGTATAGATCCAATTCAGACTGTTGGTTTTTCCTTGGATACCAAGAACCAAGGTTTGATTGAAAAGAATTCTCATCCCAATACAAAAAACTATATATGCGCAGGTGTGTGTATGCACACACACACCCCCTTGGTTGTATCAGGAGATTAGAGATTAGTATTAAAAAGAACACTTCAGATGTCAGGAAATGAACAAAGTCAAGAAAATGCAAACCTACCATACGAGTTCGTGGATACTTAGCGATGCAGTACATGTCTGCGTTCTGTGGTGTACGTGTCACATACCCAGTGACAGTAACTGACCTCCTCCTCCAAGAACTAGGTGTAAGGGTCTTCCATTGTTAGCCTTTCCTGCAGTGGGCAAGTGTCCCATCTTCCATCCAGCCAGATCCCTCTGGGTGGGGCTCAGCAAACCGTCAGGCTGGGGACCCTGGTGCTGTGAGGAGGTCAGGTCTTCCCCAGCAGCAGGCAGGGGCCAGCCTGGAGCCTCCGGTCCACCTGGGGGGCCTGTTCCAGCTCAGGACCCACAGACGTGACAGGTGGACGATCCAAGTCCGAGCCAGGCAGCCCCACGCACGCACCTGCTCCCCTAGTCGGGACCACGGAGGGTGGGAGAGGGCAGCTGCCCTGTGGGTAAAGCACTTGCCGCTTTGTCTCCAGGTGCCACTTCTCTAGTTGTTCAAGAAAAAAGGAAACACTTTAGAAAATGATTGTCCTCAATTAGCTAATGTAAAATGTTTGTCAAAAATAGAAATAATGCCTCACAAGTGAGATGATAGAACACACGTCATAATAGGTCTTTTAAATGCTATGGGTCTTCTGCAGACTGGTGTGTGTCCGCCGTCCCGACGCAGTGGGCGGGGTCTTCCTGGAGAACAGACGGGGACACCGTGCGAGGCACTGATGGCACCGAGGTCCGTCAGGGCGAGTAAGACTCCGTCACTTCCTCTCTTGCAGCTGGTCTTCCTGGAGTTCTTCGAAGCGCTCTTAAGCTTCGCCTTCATCTACGTTACCGACCAAACGACTAGATCCTGTGTGAGTTCTCCAAATGATGGTTTCATGGAAAGCAAACACGGAAGTGTGTGTATGGCAACAAATAAGGTAACAAGTGATATGTTAGAATTTAGAGCAAGGAATGGTTTTACTCTGGAATGGTTAAACAGTCCTCAAAGTTATCCTGGCCTTTTGTAACCCTTCAGGAAATAATTTAAGTCTTCTTTTCACAGTTTGTTTTTCTTAAGTTAGAGGGAATGTACTTCCTGGTCACAACCCAGGCAGTAGACCCTTAGCCACAATAGGAGAACGAAGGTCAAAGTGCCTACGTGGCGGGGAGGGACCTGAGTCTCAAAACACCCACAATGTTTTGTTGTGAAATGTTTCATCACATGATCTAGTGTTTGCAAGGGCGGAAAGCGTGACCCAGAGGGAAGATGCTAAGGGGCAGCTCCTGAGTGTCACCCCAGGTGCTAGATGGGTCCCTGAGGAGGGGCCTGCTCGCCAGGCTGGACACTAGGGTTCATGGTGAGACCTGGGGACAGGGGCAGGGGCAGGAAGCCACTGCAGGCTTCAGTGCTAGAACAAACTGAGACACACCTGTACAGGGTGGGGTTTCAGGTTAGGGGGCTTGGAGCATTTCTGATTTTTGAGCCATTGGAGCCCCAGGGCTGCAAAACACTTGCAAGCTGCTCATACAGCAGCCTCCGGCTCCGGCCTAAGCGGAGACTTGCACCGTGAGTCCCTGGGCTGTGCCTTGGGGTCCACAGGGGCTGGCAGCTTCCTGTTCAACTTCAGCTCCTCGTGGCTCACCCCTGCAGACAGGCACGCCTCCTCCAGGTCACCTGGGAGCCTGGTCCCGGGCCGCAGCCTGGGTCTGGACGCTGCTCTGAGGGAAGTGATTTTATGGACGGCATCGCCACAGACTCCAGTGACCGAGTGTGAACATTCTGGTCTGGGGATCGTCCTCAGTCACCATCTGATCAGCCTCACTTCTGGTTGTCAGTGTGGCATTTCAGATGTCCATCAAGATAAACACACTGTAGTCATACAGTGGTGCATGAGCCAGCAGTGACATAATTCATGATACATGCAACATGCGTGAACCAAAATAATTATGCTGGGGGAAAGCAGCCAAACAAAAAAGGACACATACTGTTGTGATTATATAAAATTACATAAAATGCCTAGAAAGTGGGAGGTAACCTGCAGTGATGGCAGGGGGTCAGTGGTTGCTGGGGGAGGGGAAGAGGGGTCACCACGGGGCACAGGCGGCTCTCGGGGTGACGGGCATGTCCACTGTTCCACCGAAGTGATGGTTTCACAGGTGTAGACATGTTGACATTCATCAAATATATACTTTGTTTATTGTGCATGATACTTCATTAAAATTGTGCGCGGGCGCACGTGCGTGCGTGCCTGTTTCCATGGAAACAGCCGCCTCTCTAACGGCCTGTCCTTGCTCTGAGCACCCAGAACAGGAGGAGTGTGAGCGCAGAGACGAGTCAGGAGTCTGACGTGCACTTTGGCAGCATCCGGTCGTCATCAGGGAAGCTGGGGTTCCTGCTCGACTTCAGCGAAATCGAGACAACAGAGGTTTGTGTTCTCCACACGCCACCTCAACACTGTGTGGTTGTAGTTTCGACCGCTGTGGTGCACCTGCTATGTGACGAGCGCGCTTCCCTGTGCTGGGGATCTCGCAGCGAACACACAGCCTGCCCTCCCGTGGACTGTTCCTTTGAGGGCGGAGAGGAGATGGCAACAGCTGAACACAGAACAGTGAACACCCATGCGGGCTTTACCAGGTGTCACGCAGTCACAGGTCCCGTTTCTATCTCTAGGTGGGAACTGAGGCTGAGAAGGGTTAAGTAACGTGCCCACAGTTGCAGAACTAGTAGGTAGGAGAGCTGGGCGGTTTGGCTCCAGATTTGCCCCTGTGGATTCGGTTGACAGGGTGGGGCAGTCTGTGTGCCCGAGGGGATGAGGTGCGGCTGTGTCAGTAGCGGTGGCTGTGTCATTAGCTGTGAGAGGACTGTTCTGTGCGAAGGTTGGAGGGGGGGTGCACTCTGGTGGTAGATGGGACAGAACAGGGACCGAGCAGCGACTAGCAGAGCAGCTGGGGGAGGGGAGGTGGGGAGGGAATGTGGGGAGGCTGCAGAAGGTGCTGAGCAGAGGGTCACCGCTGACGAACCAGTCGGGAAGCTTTGGGGATCATCTGAAGGTGGCGTGCAGGCTGTGCAGCGAGGGGCAAAGCGAAAGCAAAGACGATGCCTGGGTCTCAGGCCTGGTCGGTTGGAAGGACTTGGAAGGACAGAGTCACCATTCACCATGGAGGGGGAGGTTGGGCTGGGGGAAAGGAGTTTGAGGGCAAAATTAAGGGGTTGGTTTTGGACATTTTAGGACATGTCATCCAAGGGTGACAGCAAGTGGCACAGCTGGATACGCAAGTGTGGAGTTCAAGAGCAAGATCTAGCCAGGCACAGAAATATGGGTGTAAATAGTATATGTGTGGTAATTAAACCCATCCATATACGAATGGAAGTTCACTGTAGAAAGTACGTTTTGAAATCCTTGGTTCCTTGGGGGAGGTCTGCAGTAGGTACAGTACTGCATCACTTGTTTCGTTAGTATGAATGTCAACATTTGCTGCAGTTTAAAAACAGTTCAAAGAATGGTCTCGTGAATAATCTTTGAATTATTAAAATGTACAAAATTAGTTTTAGTCCATAATGATGCAGAAATAATATTTTGCTTTATGTTTTTTTTTTCTTTTATGTAAAAGGACAATTTCAAGAAGTCTCTAAGTGATGAGAGAATTTCCAAAATTAATTTTCTGTCTGGAGGGAAAGCACTGACCTTTTATTTACCTCAAAATGGTGAGTACTGTAATTACAGATCTTTAAGTTTGACAAACTTTCTTACAAATTATATAAAATTTATAAAAATAAACTGTCACGTGTGTGTGTGTTTAGGCCAATACTGCTGTTCCCAGTTCTGTCTCCTGCTCAACAGAGTTCACTTTCAAGGCATGATCTTCCTGAGTTTTGTTTGTGTGTTTTTGGCATTGTTTCCAGTGTTATTCAGATATAACTGACTTACAGTGCTGCCTAGGTTTAAGGTGGACATCATGGTTTGACTTACGATTTGAAATGATTACCACAATCATCCCAGAAAACAAAAGAAAACCTTTTTCCTTGTGATGAGAACTCTGAGGATTTACACTCTTGTCCCCTTTCATGTAGACAGACCGTGCGGCTAGGTCCACGGCCGTCATGGTGCCATCTCCTGCTTGCTTGTCTGATAAAAGGAAGTTGGTGCTGTGTCACCATCCCCATCCACTTTGCCCTCCCCCGACCCCCTGCCCCTGGTAACCAGAAACCTGACCTATTTTTCTGATGTCGTCAAGATTCTACGTATAGGTGAGATGATGCAGTGTCTGTCTTTCTTTGCCTAGCTTATTTCACAAGTCAGTAATTATCTTCTTGCTCAATTCAGAGTTAAAATACTCTTCTTTTTTTTAAAAGACTTTATTTATTTATCTTTAGAGGGGAAGGGAAGGAGAGAGGGAGAGAAATATCAATGTATGGTTGCCTCTTGTGTGTCCCCTGCTGGGACCTGGCCTGCAACCCAGGCATGTGCCCTGACTCGGAATCGAACTGTGACCCTTTGGTTCAAAGGCCTGCACTCAATCCACTGAGCTACGCCAGCCAGGGCTAAAATACTCTTATTTTCTTAGTGAAAGCCACCTTTAAAGACAATGTAGGCAGCCCCAGCTGGTGTGGCTCAGTGGAGTGAGCGCCAGCCTGAGAACTGAAAGGCCACCAGTTCTATTCCTAGTCTGGATTGCGGGCCAAGTCCCCACCTCGGGGGTATGAGAGAGGCAACCAACTGATGTCTCTCACACCCTGATGCTCCTCTCCCTCTCTTTCTCCCTCCCTTCCCCCCTCTCTAAAAACAAATAAAAAATTTAAAAAAAGACAATGTGTGCAAATGCTAAGGGGTCTTTTTTCCCCCCGAGACATGGGAAGTATTGTAAATTTTCTACAATTTTACTTTAGAAAACCAAAAAAACAGTAAGCTATTTCGAAAAAAAGTACAGGTACCAGGAGACTCAAAGGGAAAGCTGGCAGTCGTAGCTGTGGCCTGGGGACCGCTGCCTTGCTCCGGGCGGTCCGTGACCACTGTGCAGCTCGCTGGCCCCCGGGTGCCCGAGAGCGGAGCACAGGGGCCGGGGCGCCCACCGCAGGGAGGGGCAGGACCGGCCCCCAGCCTCCGAGGTTACTGCAGAGCCATGTGGGCGTGCCCTGAAATGAAACCTTCTTCCAGAGAAGAAGGAAAAGCCCGAGGACGAACAGACCGAAAAGCTCCGCATGTGGATCGGCTGCGTGTGCTGCTTTTTTGTCAACGCGCTCTTCCCGGCTCACAGACGCGAGGAGATTCTCCAGGGGAAAGTGCAGGAGAACAAGGCGCAGCTCTCGGCCTGGGACCAAAACGGGGGAACGGCGTACGACGCCGTGGAAGTGAGGTGACGGCACTGTCCACTGCGCGTGCGCGCAGGGCCCTTTCCTTCCTGTTTCCCGGAGCTGCCTGCAGCCTCAGGACCAAGTGCTTCCATTAAGAGCACACAGCTTCCTGAGGTTGGCACGTCCTCATCGGGGACCGAGAATCCTGCCTGGGGGCCACCTGTTCTGTCCTGTTGTCCGAGATGGTAGTGACCTCTGTCATAAGGTTCCCATGAAAAGGCAATGTGACCGAGTGTCTGGGAGTCAGACCACAGATCTAGACAGCCTGGGTTCAAATCCGAGCCCCTCCATTTAACGCTTGGGTGTCCTTGGGCAAGGGGTGGCACTGTGTGCCTCAGTTTCCTCATCTGTAAGCTGGGGATAGCACCCCATAGGACGGTGGTGAGGATTAAGGGAGCACCTGTTTGTAAAGCATCTAAACAATGACTGGCACTCTGAGCGCCCAGCGGGGGCTGCACAGTTACCTTCCTAGAACCGCTGTCTGGGCTCCATGCCTTGCAGACCTGTTGACCCAGAGGGCAAACGCCTGCTCTCTGTGCAGTGCTCCACAAGCCTGCCAGCTGTTGAAGAAAGCAGTAAACTGGACTTAAGGAAAAAAGCCCAGAAGGATTTTCAGAGGCTACTTACTAGCTGCCAGCTGCCGAGAGAGAAATGGTTCACCAGTCACTGTAGATAAGGTCTAGACATGGCATCACTTCGTTTCAGGCAAAGTGACGGTAACTTAATCTTTGTGAACAAAAGCAGATCCGTTCTGTAAACAAAACGGTAAGCTGCCATCCAGGTGTAGACCACTTACCCCACAGAGCATAGACAGCGGCTTTGAAATGACAAAGTAAAAAAAAAATACCTCCTTCTGTTTGCTTCTCATGTTAGGCTGAATAGCTTGAGAAAGGAAGAGGCCAAAAGCCAAGACTCTGAGGTCCACATCACCGTGATCAAGGAACCGGCGGAAGCCCCATCCTTGCCTTTGATGTCGAGTCCCCCTAAAGAGGACCTAGTGATGGTCCAATCTAAGACCATCACCAGTAAGAGAAAGAAAAAGTAGAGGTCACTGGGCTTGTCGATGTAAAAGGAATTTAGAGACAAAGCATTGTGATGCATTTCCTGACCAATAAAGCTGGCTGGGTTTTACCTTCCATCTCCGCGTGTTTGAAATACCAGCCCTCTGGGCCACTGCACTTCTGGCTCCTTCCAAGGGCAGATCAGGGAATTGCCCACATGTGGAAACTGAGCTGAATGCAAACACATGCCGATGGGTATTCAGTGATTGCATATTCAATGATTTTTAATCAATACGTTGGTGACTAAGTTTAGAATCTGATAAAACCAATCAGATGTCAGTGGGGAGTAGATGACGTTATTGAAACATTTCTTCAGCTCCTTTGCCCCTTGGAACCGCCCCGTGTCCACCGGCCTGTCCTTCTGATGCTGCCTCTGACGTGGCCCCTTCCCGTGAGTCACAGCACCGCAGGCCGCAGCTGGACAGGGTCAAGGGCAGGTGTGCAGTTGGCAGTTAAGTGAATACTTTGTCTCTGTTAGAAAACATCAGAGCTAATGAGCTGTTTTAAAATTTAAGAACAACTACCAAAAGCATAAAAATACCTAACTTCCAGACTAGCAGAAGGAAGGAAACTCATCCAACATAAATCTGGAAAAAGGGAAAACAACAAAGAAAAAAAAGGTGGAAACAGAAAACAAAAGATGCTGGGGAGACGTACAGAGTTCCCAGGAATCACCCATGTTACAGGCTAAACCCACCTCTTCCCCCGCAACCGCTCAGATACTTGGACTGAAAAATAAGAATTCACTTCAGTGTTACTCTTTACAAGGGAACCATCTTCAACAAAACCACATAGAAAGAATGAAAATAAAAATATGGAAAAAAATGTACCATGAAAGTCTAATCAAGACGGTTAGATTGCTTGCAAAGTCTGGAAGTTACAGGAAAGAAAACTGATCATGACGGAAGAAACAGATTGGAAGAAACAGATCTGAAAGACAACAGTTAGTAAGGATACAATTGAAGCAACCAAACTACAGCCTTTGAACTGATAAGAGTTAGAAACCAGAATGCAGCAGAATAAACACTGGCCACCTTTTGGATGAAAAGTGCAACAGTTTCAAATGATACATCAGAGACCAGACCTGGCGGCACTGTAATTAGTAAGCCTGCCATGCGGGCACACAGTGAATAAGTCTCCTCCGATCCTTGGGAAGGAAACCGTACCATCCGGAGGGACTCCTGGATGAAGAGAACATCGTGATGGAAACTGCCCCTTGTGAGACATCACAAACACAAGTGGATGAGAAGCTCCCCCCTCACCTCCCCAACTCGGCAGGTTCCTGTGGGTCCGGTGACAGGGAACCATGGGACCCGTGCTAGGCCAGGGTAGGACTGGACCGGGGGAAATTCAGCCAGCCCCGCCTCAGCTGTGAGGCTGCATGCAGAGTGTGGGGAGGTGTCCACGGCGCATGGGAGAGCCTGACGTTCACACCACACCGGGGCACCATCACTAAGCACTCAGTGGTGTGTGAGGTCTGAACATCGCAGTACTCAGGACAGGAGCCAAGTCTGGCAACTGCTTCGGGCAAGTGCATTAGTTCGCCACGTGAGATTGAGTGACCAGGGGAGGGACCCCAACTCCGTGAAGCTGTAGCTGCTACAGTGTCCCCCAGGACGAGCCGGGGACCCACTGGCCAGTGTAGTCTGCAAGCAGGCAACAGGAGACAGACTCAATTCAAAACCAAAATTTTAAAAACTTTAACAATTTATTAGTCTTATTTCCCAGTAAAATATTCACATGATGTCAAAAGAATGGAATGATAGAGATGTAGCCAACTACCTTTAACTAACTGCACATAAATATTGAAAATCTAAAAACTCCAGGGCATCATCAGACTGAGTAGAAATTTGATTCTTCAAAGCAAGTATTGCTTTACTATTGTCATAATCCAGTCAGTAATATGACCAGGGACCTGCAGTGGTAAACAGAACGCCTGCTGAGCTGTTTCCTGAAAGGTGTCTCAGAGCCGTTATCTGTCAGTCCAAGAAGAATATGTTGTTGAACTGCGTTGCACAGAGTTTCTTCACCTCTTCTGCAGACAAAACAGAAAACAGTGAATAAAAGAAGAGAGCATTTCACTTAAAGGTTAGACAACATCTATTAGTACCTTAAATTCTTCTGGATACAGCTGGGAATAAGTAACTGTCTTCATTAACTTAGACCTTATTTCTACGAAGCCTGGGTAAGAAGTGTTAGGTAAACAGAGAAAGAAAGAGCCCAACATGCCCACAAGACCGGGGTGCTACTGAAGAGACACAGCTTCTTGGGGCCCGAGAGGACACGAACCCAGTGCCAAATGAGCAAAGACGCCCACGGGTTAGGGGCTGGGAGCAGAACTTCTAAAATCTTGAGCGCTCTGGCACACAACGCAAAGCTCCCGCTGCCACCGTGCACGTGGGCCAGGGGCTGCCGAGACAGCGCTGTCTGACGCAGCTCCCGCCGCACTGAGCAGTGTCTTCACTGGGGTTTCCGATGCATACGACCGTTCATGTGTGTTAATCAGAAAAATGCAACAGGCCCTAGAGGGTACATGCAGGAAACACCGCACTTTTCTTACAGGTGGCACTGGGTGTATCACGGCCCCACAACTGTCTGCTCTGGTCTCTCTCGGAGCTGCAAAGGCTCCAGGGCACAGGGACAGTGACGCCCCCTTCCCTCCAGAGTGGCAGAGCCGCCCAGACACCTGCCCCGCACACAGAGGCGGCTGTAAAACCAACTGTGCCGTCTCATCGCAGGGAATGAGGATGACCGCCATACCCGGTGTGGGAAGCCATGGGGTGTTTTTGCCTTTTGCGTTAGGAAAAGTAATTTTCTTTTGGCCACTGTCACATTTCCTGTGACACAGGAAAGTTTCTCACACACTTTTGTTTTTAGGAACTAAAGCTACAGAAAAACACAAAATGGATCGAATGGATTCCTTTAAGCAACAGAGGCATCTGCTTAAAACCTCAACCGCCAGGCTGGCCTCCTCGGCACGTTTCTCAGTGCAGGGAAGAGCCTCGCTTCTGAACAGCGGAGCATCAGAACGCTGTGCAGGCGCCAAACCCTGGTTACCATTCACTTCGATGAGGTTGGCGTTTTTCTGACTCAAAATCACGTAGAGCTCCCGCTGGTCGGACTTCTTCCCGACGACCCAGTAGTCGCTCATGGCTTTCACGATGATCTCCTCGTCTTCGTCCACCCTGCAAGACAGAGTTTCACAGTGCGGCCCTTTAGTGCCAACAGAGCCGGGCCGTGGAGAACAAACAGCGCAAAGTCAGAAACGGGGAACTTCGGTCCCCGGAGAGGTTCGGGGAGTCACGGGCGTGTGACCGGGGACACCTGGACTACGACCCGCGTGGAAGCGGCACCTGGCCCTGGGCTGGGAGCCGATCCCTCTAACGGTGCCGCTCTGGTCAGGAAGGGGACAGGGTCCAAGAGGCAGCGAGCATTACCGCGTGAAGTCACTGTTGATGTCCCCCAGGATCTTCATCAAGTCCGGATGGACAGACGTCAGGGACACACTGGGGGTCTTCCTCATGTGGATTGTGCTCTTCTCCGCCAAGTTCATGTGGTTGAAGTAGATGAACTTAAACTGGGGCTCCTTTTCCGACCTGTGGAGACAAACCATGGAATGGTGACACCCTGAGAGAACCGCCCGACTCTATGGCGACACCGACATCGTTACAACGTCACTCGGGTGGCGGGGCCCTGCGATTCCCACGGCTGGGCCTTCACGTTGAGCATCTCGGTCGAGGTGAAGCAGGCTCTTCATTTGTTAGCGACTCACTTGGTATCTGTGAGGTATTCAACGTGACGGGGTTTTCCAGAGCGCTGCGGTGTATTCTTTTAAAAACAAAAATATTTAAACCATTTCGTGACTTTTCTCAATAGCCGTATGTTTCAAAAATGGCAATCACTCGGTTATTCCCTGAATTTTTCGTAAAAAATGCACATGAAATCGGCACGGGCCATTTATGTTCTGGGGGAGGGTCGGCAAGCTACAGCCCTGCGGCTGCACGAGGCCGCTCTTCCGTGTGAGGTTCCACCGGCCCACGGCCGCACCCCACGCGTGTGTTGTTCTCCAGGGCACCTTCACGCCAACGACAACTGATCAGCTGCAACACACACGGCCACCGGGGCTGAAATGCGCACTAATGGAGCCTGGCACCGACAAAACCGCCCACGCGGGGAGAACGGCTTCCGTGAGAGCCTTCCTCACGGCCTTGCAGACGGCTGGCGAACTAGCAATTTAAACAGAAGACAGACAGGCAAGCACCAGAGGTGGAACTGAGATTTCTTATAACACTGGGGGAGAGAGCCCCAAGACGGACGCTACAGACAGAAACTAAAGGCAGTGATTAACCAAACCGTCCACCCACACGCCCCAAACTCATTCATCATAAGAGAGTGAAGTTGAGGTTACGGGTCCCTCCCGAGCCGACGGGTACGGCACTGAGTCCCGAGGAAGAAAGACGAAGCTCTTCGACGGGGAGGGCCAAGGCGCACAGGTGGCAGTTCTCAGAAGACAACACGCCAGCGCACAGATGGAGGGGTGCCCACTCAGTGCCACCTCCTGGACTGCCATGACAGAGCACGCGGAAAGGGGGGCTGGCGGCGCGGATGGCTGCGCCCTGGGGCACCGCGGACACGCACCCTCTGCCCCAGTCCCAGCAGTTTCTCCTAAGGGGCTACGCAGACGCACGTCCCGGACCGTCCATCACAGAACGGTTCACGACGCCAACCGCAGCACGCCGGGCTCCCGTTCCACGGGAGAACGCGTGAACAGTGCCTCTGTCCAATGGAATATCACGGAGCCGTTTCAGAGAGGAAGACCGATACATGTTCATTGGTGTCAAAGGACATTTATGCCATATCATTTTTAAAGCTACAGATTCATACCAGGGTATGTTTTAAAAAACCC